ATGTGTCATGGGGCACATTAAGGACCACCCCCTTACATGACGTCCTCTTAGGGTAGCGCTGTTGAGAACTGTGAGTGAGAACGATGATATAGTTTATCATTTTAAACATAAATGATATGCGGGTACTTATTTTCATTTGCAGCAGGCAAGTGAGATCTGAATACAAGTGGTCACTGAAGACACTTTGTAAACAGATATGGTAAACTGACTTGGACTTGTAATAGTGCTTTTCTAGTCTTTTGACTTATCTAAGTGCTTTTAAACTACATGCCCACATTCACACTGATGGCAGAGTCTGCGACATCGAGTGCACAACTGCCCATCAGTACAATTCCATTCACTGTTAATGCAAAGTGTGAACTCTCTTACTCAAGTGCTGTCTGGTTGCAAATCACTGGAACAACATGATGATAACAGGTGTAAAAAGGTTCAAGCAACAAAGAGTGAAAGAGAGAAGAATAGACCCGACCGCCAAAGGACAGGAAACATCAAAGCACAAAATGAGGAACTACCAAATTTATTTTCAATAGTTCTGGACTGCTCGGGTCTATTAGATGATTATCATTTGGCCAGCGCTAAAAAAAAACAACTACAGCCTGTGTGGGCTACGCACCAGTATTGACTGCAATGAGTCACCTTACAGCGTAAACAGCAGATCTTAGCGCCGGCTGAGGGGTTTTGAAAGTAATCCAAAATCTACAGAGACGATCATCAAGGCCAGGCACACATCACACACATAGTACAGACGGTGTTTACTAAGTGGGAGGCAGAGGGATTGAGGGGGCGTGGTCAACAGATGGAGGGGGCCAGACACACCTCCATGAAAGATTGACTAATCACTAATGGACAAGTGAGCAACGCTATGATGCTGACACTGTTACTCTTCGGTCACTTTTTGGTCACACGTTTGATGTATATTTGCTCATAATTTACCTTACATACCCTTTAAGGCGCAACAAAATCACTAAATTGTGAGGAATGTCATTGATTAATTAAGTTATCATCTACAATTGTCTATTTATCAATTGCAAAAAATAGAAAACAACTACTTATTCAATACCCTCCAAAATCACATATTGAAACCAGCACTTGACTTACAGGGGCTATGATTTAAATATAAAAAGTTCAACATCAACCCTGTGACCCTGCCCACATGCAGAGAGAGCTAAAAAAGTTCTGCATCACAGACATAAAGGAGCAGGTGCCGATGGACTCTTGTGCTTTTTTTATAAAAGGAAACACAGCCCCCCTCCTGATAGAGGGCTGCAACACCTGCATCAAAAGCTCCGCTCAGAGGGTTTAAGCCTCTCTCACTGCAAGTGACCACATTTTATTCCACATCTGATTGTTAAAATTAGAAAGGAAAGGTTTAGAGTTGGAGGCTACTTGTCATGGGCTGCAGCCTATAGTGAAGACAGTAACTCACTTTCGGTGGACAGGTAGGCTAACTCCTGAGTGCTGCAGTCCTCACTCCTTCAGGCTTTGCATTTCAACACATCTCATTCCACCTTTAGCCCAACTGTAATCTGAGCTGTGATGAAAAATGAAAGATTGATTCAGTGCCAGATGTTTTGGTGCCTTTTTTTCCTCTGGATCGGTGAGATCACAGAGCTCAGGTTGGCCAGTGAGAGGAGACAGGGGGCAGTGAAAATGATTCCTATAAGATAACATGATGATGATGATGATGATGATGATGATGATGTGGCTCAAGTCCAACATGAAGCTAAGATTTTGGCCCTGCTCTATGAGGACTCCAGCAGCGGAGGAGCAGAAGCTGCTTCGTCTCAGAAGCTTCATGCGGGTTCAGAGATCAGGGGCTGAACGCATGCAAAGCTCGAGTATAGTGATGCAGACTGCGGTGCATTCATTAATAGAGGAAGCTACACACATAAGCCTGCCTGCAGAGGCTACACGGTGGAAAATGGACGCCTAGCATCAAGCGGCCGGTATAGAGAGACACTCAGTGGACTGGGACACAGATCAAACATAAAAGACACCCAATCATACAAACAAGTCTTGATAGTGGCATCGTTTCAGCACATACAATACATATTTTAGTCCCAACACCTGCAGTAAGGGAAGCAAGGAAAGCTTCAAACGAGTCATTATAAGGCTTTCATTTTCATATTAGACGTTGCAGACGCTAATTATAGGCCCGCAGAAAACAGGAGGGAAAATAATCATTCAGCATTAAATCGGAGAAGAGGCACAGGACTGAGAATCCTTATTTTTGTTCAGCTATAGCCAATGTCTGCACTGCCAGTAGTGGGCTAAGTTACAAGGCAACGTGTAACAAATCAATGTGGCGTGTAAATTACACAGGATGAACAATGATTCGTTAAGTTGCAAAGTACAAACAACAGTGACACGGTGTAATTATGATTATTAGACATAAACAACAACAACAAAAGAAGAAGCTGGTTGAGGTCTTACCTGCAGGCTTTTTTTTTTTATCTCACAGATTCTCAGCGCGTCGCACTCCCATAGAGGAGGAGATGGAGGGGGAAAAAGGAAGATAGGGGGTGGACGTTGGATGGGCTGAATAACGGGTCGATCCAGGCAGAAACAAATAAATAAATAAATAGAAAAAGGGATGATGGGATTTGATGGCAATAAGAATCACGCGAGGGACTGGATTCTCAGTGATATTAATCCAAATCAGCCACTTATAGGCAAAGGCTTAAACGTGAATTAAAAAAAAAAAGAATAAACAGGCTAATAGAAAACACGTCACTAAAAAACGGATTTGTCTACAGAGGATGTGGCCGCTGCTTGTGAGTACTCGGGGAGAATGCGTCCCCCCCCACCCCCCCCCCTCCTCCATGCCCTCTACTCCTCCCCCTCCCTCCGGTTGGACGAGCGCTCGCGCCTGTCTGCTCCTCTATCTACATTTCTCCCACACGGAGCTCGCGACGCAAGCAACTTGACGCATCCCAGCAAAAAAAAAAAAAAAAAAAAAGAAGTCCTCGCTGATGTGAACGATGACGGATAATGTCAGAATGGACATGAAATCTACTACAATATGTTGCGCTGCGAGTTCACGAGGAAGGTTTAACCCCTCACCCAACTCCCCTCCGTCCCTCCCTCACCCCCCCCCCTCTCTCTCTCTCTCTCTCGCTCTTATATTGAGGGAATTGGTCTGGATGTGCTTATTGGAGCGTGTGCCGGGCGCACTGGGGCTGTGCGTTTGTAAGTAACCTATTAGCCATGACCAGGTTATATATACATTATGTGTGCGCGTGCGCCTGCATGTGTTATTGATGCGGATGTATATCTTTGTTTTTTTTTTTTTCTTTTTTTAAACTGGGGAGCCATCAATAGAGCGCCAGTGGGACACGTTTCCTCTGTGTTGATGGTGGTGATGCTGATGCTGATGATGATGGCCGCGCTGGTAGTTCTGGGAAATGCAGCACGATCGCAACCCTGCAGAGAGATAGAGAGAGAGAGAGAGAGAGAGAGAGATGTTAATAATCATGGAGTCAGATATCCACAGGTCAATATTTCTGTCTAGATATTTAGCAGAGGCTGTATAATAATTGTGATAATTAATTGACTTTAATGTCATAGACTACTTAATAGATGAAGGTAATGTAAATGTAGATGATGTCATCAAAGAGCTATAAACATAGAGCTGAGCTGCTGGTGGCACACAGCTGTCTGGATGCACAAAACTGATGGACAATGACCTTCAATAGCTCTAAAACTGGCTTTACTGCCCACTTCACCTCTTTCTGCCCCCCCCCCCATCACACACACACACACACACATACACACAAACACGCACACACCACAATCGCATACACAGAGCGGAGTAAGGGAGAGCTGCAGAGAGCTAATACAGAGTGACAGGTCTTTCATGCAGCAGTGGTGATGGTGAAAAGAGAGATCCACTCAACCCACTGACAAACACACACACACACACACACACACACACACACACACACAGGCACTGACAAACAAAGAAGGAAGCAGAAGCAAACACAGAAATGCATGCACTAAATCACAGTGAGAGGCACATTATTAAAGAGTCCACAAAACAACCATACTGTAAGTCTCAGATGAATCTCTTATTTCCACAATGGAAGAAGTCAGGCTTCATTCATCAGGAGGTGCACACAAACACAAACACACACACACACACACACACACACACACACACACACACTTTGAAGTAAGACAGTGAGTGCTCAGGCTTTTACTTTTTATTGTTATTGACCTGTGGATGTTTGATTTCCCCATGTAACACCTCTCGCCTCCAACTATCTGCCTGTCCGCGCACACAAAAGCACACAGATATCGCTTACTTTAGTATCTTTGAAAATCCTACTTTTAAGTTCTGTTTGGTTCTGATAAATATGTCTGATACTAATTAAAGTTTGATGATTATAACTGTTATGTTCCCCTTGTTGTATTAAAAAATCACCTGTATGTCTTAATCCTTCTCTCCTATTTCTTTTTTAAAGAAGTAAATATAAAAGTAAATCCATGCAACAAAGACCCGATGTTATATACAATGGCTGCATGAAACTCTTCTTTAAGTTATGTTACCTCAAATCACAATTTAATCTTAAAAATGTACATTTTTTAAGTCTCAGACTGAGTGATTGTTATGGTACACCATATAACCTTCATGCAAACCCTCATGCAAACATATGACAACGAAAGCAGTCATGCACACAAATGCATATACACGTATACACACTGATCAATGGTTGGCCTCAGGCTGTGGTAGATCTCCGTGACTGAGGAGGGAGCTGGTTAACACCCAGTGGTTCACCGCAGTGCAGTGTGCACCCACTTACAACATCCCCTCCATCACAGACCAGCCAGAAAAAACACCATTATCTCTATGACGTAAAACAAGGGCTTACTTTTTTTTAAATAATTCCGTCTTCATTATGCTAAACTTTTTAAAAGCAAAACCTGCAAAATAAAAATGATGTTACACTCATGAACATAAAAATATATAGATGTAAATTGAGTATCAGATAACCAGAGAGTGCAGGCAGGGTGAAATAATCCCATGTTGAAAGTTTTATTCATGTATTTAAGAAAGTGTGACACAGATGTCAACACTTTTAAAACAGTGATCTTATCAAAATTGCTTTTGAATTATATAACTCAGGATATACAGCATCAGTTCCATTTTTAAAGCATTTGTTTTGCTATTTTTATTCTTTACAAGGTAGTTGTTGAAGGGGACATGTGCAATAAGTCGAGTCTTTATGCAAAAAACAGACGCAGCTACACCCTTCTATATTTTCATGTAGGGGCAAAGGAGAGAAGCATTGGGTAGAGAGCTCAAAAAAAAAGAAGTACAGAGACAAAAAAAAGAGGAATACCTCAGTTTAAGAAATGATTGTAGGAAATGTGTTATGCAGATTAAGAAACAGAAGGAACAGTTCTCAGCTGTCACGATTGAGTCAGCAGCAGTCTGACGGTTAGACAGGTGGATGCAGGTCTAGATGTCCATTAGTGGGGAATTCTTCTTCTTCAACAGCTACAGCCGAGGTGCCATTGAGCAAGGCACTTAACCCCCTAACTGTAACAGCAAAGCCAGTATTAAATACTGCAGTTACACTGGGCTTCACCTCAAATATGAGTACATAAACAAAAACAGTACACTGTAAAAACAAAACATGCTTGCTTAACAGAACCCTGCATAAAAACATGATGATATCTTCACGACATCACACTATATTCACCTTGCAAGTCTTTAGGAGTTCCCTCCCATGTTAACGTGTTTCTCTCTCTGCAGCATCACAGTGATAATGAAAACCAGCCATTACACAATGACTCTGGTTTAATTCTCATTCCAGAGATATATCATATCAACATATCTATATCTTAAAACAAACTCTAACAAAAAAAAACTTGTGCAAGTAAAAATATGAATCATCTCTTGTTTTTCAAACATGGGTTCTACTTGTGTGGAGAAGAATAATATTCTGCAGCTTTCAGATACTGCAGGGTATTCAAAAAAATCATCTAGTAAGGGCCATTTAGTTTCTAGAGCATCTGAAAATGTATCTTATTATTGGATAAATTGCACAGAAAAGTGTTAACATACTCTCATGCAACCTGCTACATACAAAGTGCTACTCAGACCCACCTGATACCTGCTGCAGCATTTTATCAGAGGGAATCACTTTTCATATTTGAGATAGTCTGCAGTATCCAACCTGCCTTTTACTTTGGAACAGAGAGCTGAAAAAAAGACATTTGGAGTCGCAAAAAGATAATAATATAAACCTTTGCCAACTAAAAATAATCAGCACCATTCTGCCAATACTGTAGTACATTGACTTATTTTCAAGTGAACTTGCTAAACACTTTCTGGCTGATGCTCCTGTAGTTTGACCATCTGATGCCTTTCTTTGTGATTTATGTTGGAATACTAAATATCTTTGCAAAATTGGCCTTAAAAAGCAAAACGTTTGAATGCCTCATCTCAGATTGGAGGATAACATTGGGAATATTCAACATTTTCAGACATGTTATAAACAGTAACTATTGGGCAATGATCAGCAGATAGGTTAATGCCACAAATAGTCATAGTTGCAGCCTTAGACACAAGAGAGCTCCATGTCATATTTCATAAGAACATCATTTTTCAGATACTCTAGAAACCCTCTGCATGATGCACACAAAGTGTTAACATTGGAATAAAGCAGCATTGTTTGCTGCACTTCACAAACAGTGGGGTTTCACTTTGAGCAATAATTGCAAATGTAATATTTTGTTGTGTGAGATCCAGATAAATAAATGTTAATCCAGTCTCCGTCTTTAAAGCATATGTCTTTGCTCCTCCTGACATTCACCATCACTCCATCTTCTGGATGGACTACCGCTTTGGACTAACTCTTCTGTGCTGCACCACGACAAAGTGCAGGTCAGGGCCGGTGCAGCGACAGTGCAGATCAGTGGCCAATAGGGGGCATCAGACCCCTGCATCAGTGTCAGGTGGATCCTCCTCTAAACCAGCATGCAGCTGCACTCAGGATGGTGTGGACAGTCTATGTGCCTATGATTTCTACATCATATGGTTTTACTGGGCTGCAAAGCAAATTTCCCCTTGGGGACAATAAAGTTGAAAGTGTTGTTATCATTGGTTGTAGTTTCGCCTGTTGCAGAGTCTTTGTCCAAGACAGAATGAGTCTTCTTGATTTGACTTGTGCCAAAGCTTCATTCATAATTTACAACATCTATACACAAGTCCTCATGTGCAGTTTTATGTACAGGACGTTAAAAATGTGTCTCTTAAACAAATATGTAAATCATTATTATTTTCTTATGATATCACAGAATATCATCCACTTCTGTCTGTTTTTTATAACAACATTCATATACAGTGTTCTTAATTCAGAATTACTATAATGTTAACTTATATCTTGTAATTAATAATATTATTAATACTAGTTTGACATTGCTAGTTATGAAACTGGATTTATGATGTAAGAAATTGAGAGAAGACGAATATATTTTAGCACATTTACCCTTTGGTAAAAAAGTAGCATAGTCCATGTATTGGCATGAATTATGGATGTATAAATCTATGTGCATCCTCAGTCGTCAGTGATCAGTGTGCATACAAATTTCCCGCAGCACTGCAGCATCTTGGTTTTATACCGCAGCACCTCGCTCACCCTGCCTCACTCTCCCTCCCTTATATCTCCTCTGTCACTCAACCTCACAGCTTAAGTCTTTCTAGGAAACACTTTTTCCACCACCTGAATTCATTTTTCTTCTCCACTTTTAGCTTGTTTTTATTTTCTGTCCATCACAGTCTCTGTAAAATCTCTTAAATCTTCTTTTTTATTGTTCCAGAGCTCATGTGATCTGTGCCCAAAGCCCATCCATCATCTAAATGTACAGTCTACATGATTATGTGGGATCTGTGTCGCCCCCTACCTAACAGGGGGAGGCACTCATGTGCATGTGTGCATGATAGTGAGGGGGGGGTACAGGTGATGGAGGCATGGCCATGGGCATAGCTTGGCCTTGAGGGTGTGAGGAGTGCGACCTAGGCAGGGTGTGGGTGGAAGGGTACCCGGCAGACTGCGGGTAGCTCCCGGCAGACTGCGGGTAGTTCCCGGCAGATTGTGGGTAGCTCCCGGCAGACTGTGGGTAGCTCCCTGCAGAGGAAGAGCCAGAGGGGGGGCTGCCCTGGCCGCCTTTTTGGTGGTTGCTTTTGGGTGGAGCTGGTGGCGCCTGGTTGAGCTGGATTGAGATGTCGCTAGAGGCTTCGGAGGTGCTGCGGCCTCGCTTCGGCGGGGGCCAGGTGGATTCTGGATGGAGGAACTGGCCGCTGTAGTCGCTGCTCTCTGACAGACGGGGGCGGTAGAGTGCTGGGTGGGGGCGGTACATCTCCTCCTCAGCGTAGCGCTTCATGAACAGATATACTGACAACACGCCGGCCCCCTAAAACAGAGTAGGATGAGATTAGGAGAAAAAAAGACGAAAGACTAATATATTTTCATAAAATAGAGTTTCAATTGATTATTGGGGAAAGTCAGAAGTGTTTAAAGCAAAGTACAAGGTGGAAAGTTGTAAGTATGCGTTTTTGACCAATGAGGATTAAGAAAATAGGGATACATTCACTCTTTATATCTCATATAAAAGATTAGAAGAGAAAAAAACGAGGAGACAAGGAAAGCATACAGGAGGGAAGGAGGTGAGTTCACACTGAAGTGTCCACTGCACCACAGAGCAGTGCTGCTGATGGGGGGGAAAGGCAGAATGAGCATAGGGAAGAAAGGAGGAGGGGATATGAGCAGAGGATTCACATGATACTGCAGCACACATGGATGCACAAAAAACACAGAAACCCTGCAGATCTGCATCAAAACAAGTGCTTCCTCACATAATAGCCTAATTATTGACCCTGTTTGCACACAGCAAGAAATACTCCTGAGAAAGAAAAAAACACTGTTGCCAATTGAAATGAAAATGAATTGCATTTTTAGAAGATGTTCACACTGACTGACCTCTTTGAGTAAGAAGGAGGATGCAGCGAAGGCAAAGGACCAGCCGTAGTGGTAGTTGAAGAACTGCTCAGGCTCCCTGGGTCGGTTCATTACCTCGTCGTTAATACTGGAGATATAGAGCACGAGCCCAACCACCAGACTGAGGCCTGCACAAAGCAAGTTAACAAAGAAAGTGAGGAAGAGAGAGGAAGAGAGGATGACTTAAGAGAGAGTGAGAGAGGCATCAAACAAAAATCCAGATTTGCTGCACTTGGTGCCCAGGGAGACGGATGGGATTATTCGTCTCCAAAAACCTAACATTAATAAAGAAGTGAGAGAGAGCAAAGAGACGGATAGGAGTTTCTACTGGAAAAATGGAAACATTTGCCTTCCAAAAAAGAAGTTCCACAGACCATTTAGAGTTTATTGAAAGAAAGTTTTTTTTCCAGAAAATAAATGGATGATATCTAAATGTAACAAAGAAACAGTTTGGAGTAACTTTTTAACAGTTTTCTAGAGCAGGGATTTTAAAGTTACGGGAATGGAGCTACACCTGAAGGAACAAGAAAAAACAACCTTCCTTTTCAAAGTTTTACGGAAAAATTAATTTCATAGATCTTTATCTTAATTTTTCAAGGTTGTTTGAATGTCTGTGTTTTAACTCTGATTAAATACTGTACGTTTTTAACAAATCAAATGCAGTTGGACACTGAAAAATATCTTTTGCTGCTTTTCATACCACTGTCTCAACATCAACAGAAATCATTTTCAGGTTTTTTCATCTTTGATGCGCATATGTGGTTGACTGTATAAAGGAATCAACTCAGATCGCCTTCCACCTGCAGTCTTGATGGGTTCTTGCTTTTGGTCATTTCCAGTGCAGAAAACCCACATCGCACAGATAAGTGAAGGTGAAGGAGATGAGAACCTTTATAGTATTTCTGGGGAGATCTGGGAACTCACTCCTTACAGCTTTGGTTTCAAGTCCATGTTACAGCTCGACTACAGATCTATGACCTTGAGCTTTCAACAAGACAACTCCAAGGGCTTGGTCACCAAACTCCCGAGCTTGGTCTCAATATGATAGCAGAGTTTACATGGTCTTACACTAACTTTAGCTAGCACCTCTTTAAAAATAACATGCTATGTATAAAACATGTATCAAACATGGACATAGTGTCAGTGACATCATCCATTTGTTACTGAAGGAGAACTTTGAAGCCCAAAGATGGAGGTCACCATATTGAAAATGCTGTCTCAACTTAACTTTTAGTAAAACTAGAAACAGGCAAAGTGGAGCTGAGAGGGGGCCTTAAGCCTCTGGTGATCAGCTACATTCTGCCCTCTTGCAGTCATATCAGCCACGCTCCTAATTATGCATACTTCTTCCTTTATAAAATCAAAATAGATTTATTATTTTAAAATAAAATGTTTTCATACCAGGCTTTTAACATGTTTATTTGTACCGTCAAAATGGGCATTTTAGCACATGGTGTGTGCTAAAATGCCCCTCTCCCTTTTTGATGTGTGTGTTTATATTGTGAAGGGCTCCAGGTTAAATGTCCTCTCCAGCTTTCTCTGGAGAAACTCAGTCTCATGCTAAACAAAGCATGATAACTAACAAGCAACAAATCCTTTTGAGCATATACATGAGAAGTGCAGAGGAAGTGTAACTCAGGTATTATTATCACAATGTCAACAGGAAGGGGGAAATGTTGGTCACGTTTAGTTGTTGATAATTTAAACTCATCCTTTCTCAGGATTCAAGTAACCATTGACCATTGGAGAAGATAATGTTTTGCAGGATATTGTAAAAAAAAACAGAATTGTCTGTGAACATTTGCAGCTCTGAATAAGAAGTTAAACAAATCCATTATTTTCCTTTAACACCGTTTTTTATTCCTGTCAGATCCCCAGAAGGTCAAAATATTTCTTTAAAAAGTTCTCATTTTGGTGACCTACTGAACTTGTTCATGATTATTTTCCCTGACAACCACAGAAAATACGTATTTTAAAGAAAGGAAGAGAACATAAATGAAAATAAATCATGTGTTAAAATAGCTCAGACTATTTAGTTAGAAGCCTCATACAGTTAGCCCTGTTAACATTCTGAATTGGATTTCAAAAAGGGAAAGAGTGCATCTTTCCCCCCATAGGCAGCATCACAAACAACATTAAAACCCCCTTCATCTAAGTACATTATCATGCTTCCATGCTGCCTTAGAGATTTTAAATGCATGAGTTTGAACATATGGCCAACATCGAAGAATCAATATTCAAATGATGCAGCATGCTGTTAGCAGCAAATATGATTATTTTTAGCTTTCACTGCATCATTCAAATGCACCACAGGGCTGTCAAACTGCTGCGTCCTTTACATAGACAGCTGAGAGGTTATGTTGTTTTCAAATTGATACGCACGCATGATGCAGAAAGCATGCTGCTGTCAGTCATTGAATGGAGGTACATCTTTATCTAAATAAGTAACACCAGGAAATGGAGTGAAACAGACATGCATGTGCACATGAAGAGAAGTGGAAGAGAAAATGTGATGTGTGGGAAATGAGGTCCCTGCAAGTACATCAATAAGGGTTCATTTTCTGAGCCTTTGAATTCTGTCAACCTAAAACTACAATATTCAGAAGAACACAGTTTCAGTAATGCTGTAGCACAACAGGCTCCATATTAAGTATTAAAAAAAACCACCTCAACACGTGCAGTAAACGGATAGAAACATTTCTGAATGAGGCAGTAAGACGGAAATGAAAGTGATGAAAGCTACAGAGAGGGGGGAGAAATGGAAAAATCAAAGAGAGGGGGGGAGTGAGAGGGGGTGAGTAAAGCAGTGTTTAGAGCGAGAGAGGCTTAGTGCAGCAGAATATCCAACCGCAGAAAAGCAATTTGATACACTTGCCCCTTGTTATCACCCTATTATCAAAATACCTCATAAAGTAAAACACTGCGCCACTTTCAGCAGCGGATATAAACATTACATAACCCCCTGTTACATCACACTTATTATTCCGCTACACCCTTTATCGGCAGGTCCCCGCTATAGCAAGTCAGAGCCGCCGCAGCAGAATCTGTTTGATGTTTCCTCTAAGCTCTGCAGCGCTGCTTCCCTCTCAAAACATGTCAGTGAAACCGCCTTTAGCGAAAAGGAGCAGTTTGGCTCCTGACAGTCAGCACTGAGGGAGAAACTTGGGAGTGTTACAGCCACCTGCTGTTCAAGAAGGTAAACTGCACTAATGCAGGGAATCAAGCTGGACAAACCTTCCAAGGGTAGTTAGGAGTTTATAATTGAGCTTTTCCATATCATTCAAATGCAAATAAAGGCTTACAAATGTTAGAAATAGGAAGTTTAAAGGTCAGAAAACCAACCTTCACCTTCATCCTTGAAATCACATCCATTCACTTTTCTGACACTGGCATCAAATACTAAAAATAGAGCCATGGTGGAGTGACTCCACATACAGGACACATCAGGCCGCTGTAATCAATCACAGAGTGACAGCCCGACATGACTAATGGCTCCCACCTGAGAGGATGAAGAAGATGCCGGAAACAAAGGCCAGGATGGTGCGCTGAGGCCGGATGTGTCCAATGTTACTGATGACGAAGGCAGTGAAGACGAAAAGCAAGGACACCATGGGGAAGGGCGTGGCTGTCCTCACCATCTCTGTGTGGAGGAGAGGTCACAGTGTTACACAGAGATGACCTTAAAATGCAGAGCGTGGTGGATGTTAATGTCTATGGATCTTATAAAGTCTAGGTTAACACAATCACAGGCAGAATGATCTGTAATATAAAGTATTTAGCAGCAGTCCTCCCTTATTATGGTCTGCTCTTATATTATTTTGACACATTTCAAAAAGATGGATTTTATTTGGTGAAGTGTGTCAAGACTTTTCAACTTCAGAGGCTTAACTTTGAACAGCATATGTGATGCAAAACTTGCAACATGGCTGTAAACCTGTAAGGTTGCAGAGAAACATCACTCAATCTCAGCTTTTCAATTATTATTTTATGAGAATGCTCAATAGAAGGCACAGAGCGCGAAATACAGAATGATGGAAGCGTAACACAAAATCATGTGTTACATCAACATTATAGGAAAAGAAGTAGACAATGCTGGGGATTAACTTATTAGCAAAGTAACTAAATATAACAATGTCACTCTTTTCTAAATTTAAGATGGAATTTTGTGTCCACAATACATTAGTGCATCCCCTCCGTCTCCTTTAAAGAGTAAATTGGATTAAAGAAGACTTTTAAAAGGGTAATTCTCTATCTCAATTTAAACTTTAACCAGTATATCTCTTTAAAATGTTTTTTATGAGCATGATCTGTTGCTTTTCACTTAGTTTTATACAGTATTATCTCTGATTCTGTTAGTTATCATGCATTCTAATCATCTATTATTGTTTTGATTGCTTTTTTAGCCTTAAAAACATCACAAATCAGCTTCAGTGTATCCAACCAGTGTCCAAGGTGATGTCTTATGTCCAACACTCAGTACAAAATCCAAAGAGATCTTGCTCACAGTGATACAGGACATTGAAAAGCTCACAGTTGAGAAGCTGCAACATCCAAATGTTTTCCCAACAAAACAGTTGCACGTACACTTTCTGCAGATTCATTAGTAGCTGCAGCTATAAAATGTACGGATTGCAGTACCCAGAGTTGGTCAGCAGGGGGACTGTTCAGTTCCTCAGTACTGCAGACTCTGACACAGGAGATGATGTGCTGTTACATGTTTTACTCACTGAGGATGTTTGCAGTGTTTTCCGTGGTGATCTCTATTTCGGGTTCAGTGAAGTACTCTGATGCAACACATCTACCGTTTTCTGATCCTGGGAAGAAACACAGACACACACATTCACAGAACAATAAGGATGAAATGTTCAGGGGGTTTGCTTTTAGGATCAGAGTCAGTGATGCATGAAGAAACAAAACAAATCTGGGAGAGAAAAAAAAAAGTGTGAGGGTCTGTGCAGTCCTGCTCACAGGTAACGATCATGTTTTGTGACAGCTATGATTCTTGCTCTCTCTCTCGTTCCTCCCTTCACTGCTCTCTCACTCGGTTTAATCTGTGTGTGTTTTTCGCTGTGATGTTGTGGACATAGCATGATTGTTTGGATATGTATGTATAGTTTTTCTCCTACATACATCCTTTCATTCTTATATATTCATGTGTGTTGTGTTTTCCTACCAGCCACGAAGCAAACTCTCCAGAGGCCTGAGTGCAGCGCCATCTTCACCTCCATGCTCTGGTTCTGCTGCAGGATGATGCCCTCCACCATGATCAGCCAGTAGTCTGTGGACACAGCCACCCCCACCAGCAGCAGCCCGCAGGCTCCGAACACTGTCGACAGGATGGTCAACGCACGGCTGCTGCACGAACTCATCTGGAGGGCAGTGCATGAGGGAGAAGAGAAGAGGTATAACACGTGAAAAATTGCATTAGAAAATATGGAGGTAATTTTGGATGGGGTCATGGAGGGAGGTCATTAGAAACGTGCAATTTGAAAAGATACATGTGATGTGCACACATGCAGCCACAGGCCGTCCTCCTGTCTTGTTATTACTTAAGATAAGTTGGTGACACATCAAGTGGCAACCAATCCTGTTAAAGGTTAGAGAGGAGCAAGAAACGATAACTTCACGGTAAGCAGCAGAACTTAAACTGAACTAAAACGGAGAGATAATTATCACACACGCACCCGAATCAGGACAGGGAGGAGGGGTCCTGTGTGACTCACATGGTCTTTCTGCTTGGCTGGGAAAGACTTCTATGCAAGTCCTCTGAGCGTGCTGTTTGCATGCTAAAGTTAGCTTTCTGTGATGTGTTTGTGTGACTGTTCTGTTAACAGCTTCTGCTTATTTTGGACCACTAATAGAGAACAAAGGCACGTGAAAGCACAGAGCAGGATCTGCGTTTCCTAGAATAACCCTTATTAAGTAGAGTTATGCTGTTTATTGTACAATAAAGTAGAACCCCCAAATCTGCTCAAATAAAAACCATCAACTAATCTATTATATTTGTCCCACTTTTAAAATGATTTAGAAATGTAGCTGACTAATATTTGAAGCATGAAAGGTTTAAAGCTTACTTGCTCATCTTTTATCATCAATATACAATATATTAACGTATGTTGCTGCTGTTTTAACATGGAACCTATTGGAAATACACTGATGTTGGTGTTCAAGTTTGCTGTTGGTGTGGTTGTACGTGAAATACATCATAAAATGTGTGTAAAAATGTTCTTGGTAATTGTGAGATATACATTTTTTTGCCTTTAAAATTAGTACGAGAAACATGACGGTTGGTATGGTGATAGCCTAGCGGTTATGTCGCGTGTCCCATGTGCAGAGGCTAACGGCCGTAGGTTTGAATCCTGCCTCGGCCCTTTGCTGCATGTCATCCCCCACTCTCTTCTCTCAACAATCCCTGCCTCTCTTCAGCTGTGCTATCTCATAAAGGCAAAAAGCCCCAGACAAATACAACTTAAACAGACAAAAACATAGAGATTTTACATTATTTAATATGAGGTCATAGGAAAGACTGGCTCTCTCTCTCTCTGCACCCACATTTTTGAATATTTCCCAGAGTTCCTGAAGGAGGATCATTACTGTGCTGCAGCTCATCTGCAGTTTCAACCCAAATCCTTATTTCTAAGAGGGTTAGCTTCACTTTCACATTGTTTTGGTGTTTTGTTCAATACAGTATAGCCCTTCCATTTCTCATCTTTGCTGACTGACTTGTTAATCCACATACACTTGACTTTTGCAATATGTAAATAAGATCACCCATCTTATGCAGTATTATAAACATGGTGCTCATTAAATTAGCCACTGCTTGCTTGGACAACAGGACCAACCCTTATCATTTCAGCAGCTCAGTTCACAATTACAGCTCTCGTTGCTGCAAGTCTTCTTTTTGCTCCATGCTTGCTGAGAAAATCATATTGTATATCAGAGTGTGTGCAGGTTATTAAAGTACATTTAAGTCCCTTTAAATGAAACATGACACTTTAAAAACTGGCCGGAAGAGCCCAATTATGACCAAAAAGTGATGTGCCTGTTCAGACATTCAAAACTACAACCTTGGCCGAGTGAGTACCAAGACAACTTTTCCACCATCATTACCCACACTGTTCTGCCTAAACTATGGAGGCAAAATGGAGCTTTTATATCAAAGTCTTATCCAGGTTCATTGAAATTTGTGATATTTGTTGTAGCAGGAGAATGTTTTTTCACTCTGCGCTTGTCCAGTTGCAGCAATCATGTTACTACTCGAGCTTCACCGCCTTCTTCTTACAGTCACTGACACGTGGGAAATCAGGCATGTTCTCCTGCTGATGTAACACAGCTGCTACAAGGTTGGAAAAGATGTGCGCGTCTGTGTGTGTAATGTGTCTGTGTGTTTCCTCTGCATGTCACTGTGTGCAGCGCTGGTATATGCATAGTGGCCTGCTGGTTGGCCCCTCATTAATAAAAATGTTCAACGCTCTGCAGATGAGCAGATCTTTCTCATATAGATTCTCGTATCATCCTCGGAAAATCCATAATCTCCACATGTTTTGTTTTAATATAGCAGACACTGAACTTCTGAACTTCTTGCCCCCCGGTTATTAATCGAGCTATTTGCATAAAAAATAAGGTGGATCAATCACGTTTAGGGTGTCTGATTGATTTAACAATGGACATTAATCAGTCACATAAGAGGGCTTTGTCAATGCCAAATGAGTTCCTAAAACATGAGAAGCACTTCATTCTTTTTCTGGACTTTCTTAGTAAGACTCCGAGCCTTCCAAAAGCAGAGTAATAGTATGGTTGTAGAGACATTCATTCTAGTGGGAAATGGAGCCTTTAAAAAAGATTTAGTATGGACTGCCATTGTGTGAGACACATCTACTATAGGAGTTGCTTCAGTCTTTTGAGGAGCATCAGGAGTGAAAAGAGTTTCTTTTGTGAGCAAGGCTGGAGTCAGATGGTTACACGTCAGAGAAATTCTCTGAGAAATGGCTAGTTGGGCCATGTTAAAGCTGAAGAAGTATGCGGGGAGTTGTTGATTGGTCAGACGAATGAGGGGAAAGATCCAGTCAGGCAAACAGGACAGATAGAAGATTTAAAATCTAAGTGACCAAATGGCAATTTGACAAAGTATACGAACTGCCATCAAATTTGGAGAAACAAAAGCACAACTGAAGACTTGTATTCAGTTTGTTGCTGCTCCGTTTTCTATCTACCTTTCTGTTCTCTAATCAAAGGTTGTGACCAGCCCAGAAGTGGCTGTTTCTGTTGCTGCTCCTGTTGACTCTTGGGACTGTCGGTGGATAAGCTTGATCCAGTAAGATAGAGAGAGTTTGAAGTAGTCTCCATGAAATCACCAACAGCTTCTTGAAATGACCGAAGGCATAGTGTGTGTGTGTGTGTGTGTGTGTGTGTGTGTGTGTGTGGGGGGGGGGGTTCAAAGATGACCAAAGAGCAGAGAAGAGTGGGGCTCTGGGATGAACAATCACACCTCACAGCAGCTGGAGGACGTGCTGGAGATGTCTGAGAAGAGGGGGAATCAATTGGAGTTGCAGCACAGCAGAAATGAGTTGTTGTGGATGAGTGGCTCTTGCAGGCTCATTCAGCACCACGGACAGCACCCTCAGAGGCCGCCCGTCACAAAGAAAACACAAGGAAGCAGACAAAATACAAGCTGCCGGTTTATAAAAATGGATTGAGACGTAAAGTGAGAGGACATAATTCAACTCTTTATCCCCGGAAAGTCCTTCAAAGAGCTGTGACCACTTCTGTAGGAACTCTGGATTGAGACTGAGCGAAAAGAAATAGGTTTGCCTGATAGATATGTGATAACAATCCCATTTTAGTGCTCCGAGACAGGCCCCTTGGCTTCCTCACCCAGAAAGTAATGAGCCAATCGGATGGGTTAGATAGGAGCCACAAGGGGGGACAAAAGGTCTAATTCTGTGTAATCTGTCACAATCTAGAGACTGTCATCACCTCAGAGCCTCATAGTGGTGAAAGAAAGAAAGAAGTAGTGATGGACAGGAGGTGAGGATGTGGATACTGCTGCTGTAAAAAAGGAAGAAAAAAGAAGCAAAAGGAAAGGAAAAAGGATCTTAAGAGTGAGTCTTTGAGATGGGGAAAGCTGAAGTCAATGCAGGTAAAGACCTTGGCCCAAAAAAATGAAAGGAGTACCCAACATGGACGCGCTAGGACGGGTATGCACCCACACCTGTGTTTAACTACCCAACCTTGACTGTGCAGCGTCTCAGTAAAACAAAAAACAAAAACGAGCCTTCATGAGGGGACGCAGGAGTCACTCAGTGGGAAAAAAATGACTTCATAATGACTAACGTGGATATCGTGACTCAACGGGTGGGTTTGCTCATGATTTCTCGGAGCATTTCAGCTGCGCAGACACAACTCGAAACCATTTTAACAGAGTCGGGCTGACAGTGAAACGTTCAGGTGATATTCTCTGAAAACTACACGCATGTTCAACTGTGATCCTCTCTCACAGGGCTGACAGTGAGGCGGCGATGTGCGCATTGGCTTGTTTGGAGCCCCCCCTCACTGTCACACACACTCACACGCGGAGTTTGGAGATGATAAACAGAACAGGGAACATGTGAGCGACCCACACAGCAACATTTACAGAATAAAATGGACAAAACAAAGAGCTGTTGGCCGACTTTGTGTTCAGGTTGCATTCAAATGTTCATGTAAGACGTGCGGCTGTCTTTACGCTAACACGACACGAGGACACGTTATGAATGCTGCTGTCCTCAAAACACACGCATTCACATAACATTGATAAAAGACTGACTCCGGTTGAAAAGGCGTCATTGGTGCAATAAAAGCCAAGAAACACACACAATAGTTGTTCAGAATGGAAAACATTACTCACCCTGCCACGAGAGTCGTGCGCACACGTCAGTAGCCAAGAAAGCTCACAGCAGGAGGCTCGCTGGGTTTTGGTCTCTCTCTCTCTCTCTCTCTGTATTCCTCGCTCTCTCTGTATCCTCAGTGTTTTCCCTTAAGCCCCCTTACCCATCCTCTAAATCCCTCACTCTCCTCTCTTTTTCACTCAATCTGTCCGAGGTACTGCGGTGGATCGGTTTCAGCGCGAGCTACTCTGGCTACAAGAGAGACACAGCGAGGAGCGAGAGAGAGAGAGAGAGAGAGAGGGAGCGAGAGAGAGTGAGAGAGGGAGAGAGAGAGTGAGAGGGAGAGAGAGAGAGAGAGGGTGCGAGAGAGAGTGAGAGGGAGAGAGAGAGAGAGAGGGAGATAGAAAGAGGGAGAGAGAAAAAGTGAGAGAGAGATAAGAAGGGGGGGATCATGCGAAACTTCTATTTAAGACCATATCATATGTATGTTTTAACAAATATTGGTTTTCTATCATTATAGCAGCCTACAGTGTAATGCTGATATATTGGATGTTGCACTGTACATATATTTTGTTTTATAACATGCCCCGCAGTTATTTCATGAGAACATTTTAAAATTCGTTTTTTTTTAGCAATTTCTGAATACATTTTAATGTGCATCGTGCGTTATTTCTCCTTCATAGTTTCAGATTACTTCATGTTCACCTTTTTTAACATCTATAAAAAACATTTAAAAAAAACTTTTTGTTTTATTGATAATTAAAACAATTCATGATTTAATCCTTTACATTTTGAACATTATTTGACTTACACTTTAAGTTTTACTACATGTTTTGCAATACTGTACCTACATATGATTATGGCTATAAAGTACAATTGAATGAATTTTAGAGTCAGAAAGAAAAAAAGATGGCATTGAGTTTGATTAGATTTATGAAGGGTTGCAGTTTACATTTTTTAGTTTTACAGTATAAAGTATCAAACACAGACTCCAGAGTCTATGGCCTGTTCTCTGGAGTTTAATCAAGTTTGACACTCTAATCTAACCCCACATTATTGTATCAGAGGAGATGAATGTCAGTAAAATGGCACGGATAGTAACCTCACTGTCTTCTTTTCTCTCTCCATCCCTCTCCTCCTCCTTTGTCTCTAGTGGTCCATGTCCCTCGTTCTATTTTTAGCCCGCTGGTGGAGGGATCCTATATTTTTAGTAACGATATCAATAGTCTACAGCACACTCTGACCTCAGGGCATGAGCAAGAGGGGAGGAGGGGAGGGGAGGGGGGGAGGGGGGGGGGGTGAATGAGACAGTGAGGCGAGATATAAAGAGAAGAGAGAGGAAGAGGAAGCAGCAGTGAAGAAGAGGGATGATATTGTGTCACAGTGACAGTGAGTGATGGACCACACACACACACACACACACACACACACACACACACACACACACACACACACACACACACACACACACACACACACACACACACACACACACATACACACACACACACACACACACACACACACACAAAAAGACTCCTGACAGGCAACTCTGGAGGTTCAGTTATACAAAGTCAAATACTCTCAAGGTTGGAGTAACGGTGAGGCTGAAGAGTTGAAGTTATCGACAGCAGATGGATATCATGTTAAAAAACTAAAAAACTAAAAGATGTATCTTTTGAAAAAAGTGTCATTACATGTTTTTAATTATATTTTAGAGTTACTTTTTTAAAGACCCTTTATCTGACACTCAAAAATGTTTCTAATTTAATTTTGCCTTCACATGAGTTAAAAGAAACAATAAAAATAAAAATCACATTTGAGTGATGTTTTTGTATTAAAACAAAAATATGTGTTATTTAAAAATGTGGAGGCATGACTTTGAGGAAACACTTATATAGATTGATATCTGTAAAAATTCAAATGTGAGAAAACCTGTATGCCCTTTATGACATCCCTCTTTCACTGCCTGAACAATGTCAGCAGACACATAAATACAAAGGTGATATCTTTTTATAAATATGAGCGTGGAATTTGATCGTAACACAAAAGCAGAGGCAGCAACAAACAAGACATGATTCTCTTATCAACAGACACCAGCGTAGGGGGTGGGGGGTGGGGGGGGTTATCTCAGAGATAATAGCAACAACAGTAAATCCTGACATGATTTATAGTGAATGACACAAAATAATGCAGTAAAGGATTTACAGTGCAGCAGCGACAGGAAAGACAAACAGAGAAGAAGAAGGAGAAGAAGAAGGAGAGAGATGAAGGGCAGATAAAGCAGAGGAGAGGGAGGGAGTTAGAGAGGAGTTGATGAGATTTTAATGTGAAGGTCAACTTGTTATAACTGAGATCTCTGTGGGGATAGTAATCCCATCATGATGCTCGAGGAGGGGGGTGGGACCAACCGGAGGAGGGAGTGTGAAAGGAGGAAGAGGAGGAGGAGGAGGAGGCAGTGAAAGTGAGATGCCTGAGAGGTGGTTTTGCTGGTTCGACAACTACAGTAGCAGAGTAAATAGAGGGGTCAGCATCTTCTGTCTGTGTGTGCGTGTGTGTTTGTAAGAGTGTGTGTTTGTGTGTGCACATGTTTGCACTTCTGAGTGTGAGTATGTGTGAAAGTGAGGAAGAGGGAGCGAGCGTGACAGAGAGAAGCGTGTGGAGGAGACAAAGCGAAAGGCTGTGCATGTTTGTTTTTCAGAAGCTTCACACAAAAACACTTTGGCTGTCACTGGTTAATGATTTTTTCAGTAGTGTTTATTTCAATGCTTGTTTTTTTTTTCTCCAGCACATGAAAACAGGAAGTTAGCTCAAGAAACAGATACATAAATGCATAAATCCTCTATTGTATTATCTTTTATTGAGTGCATATCTATTGTATTGAAGTGTTGTGACATCAGCTCAGACTTACTGCTCTAACAAGTGACTGTTGGCCACAGCTCTAGTGACACACATGTAAAGGAGATTTGTGATCTCGCTCTTCTGGATGGGAAACAGTTTATGGTTAGCAAAAATCCATAAAGAAAACAAATCATAAAGATGCTTTAAAAGAAATTAAAACATATGTCTGCAGCTGGTTTGTGAGATAGGAGCACTGAAATGGGTTATTAAACTGGACGTTTGCAGCCACCTGCACTGCTCAGATAATGTTTAAAGACAGCGCTGCAATTTTTTTTTCCATGTATTGAACAGTCCCAGTAAGCCTCACTTTTAATTACCCCTGAATCAATGCTGTGACTTCGTCATTACACAGCAAAAAAGCTTCATTGTATATCACATAGATGACAACATTCCGGCAAAAGCCTCGTCTTTCAGACAGAGGAAATACAATAAAGGGGCACATTTACTAAGACTGCAGAAAGTGGGCTTATTGGACTATAGTTATGAGTAGAAAATAGTAACAGATCAACAGAAAGATGCAACTGGATCTGCGGCGGTAATGTGATAATAGTGTAGCAGAGTGGGCCTGAGCTTGGGGGGCAGCACTGCAGCCTACACTAACTGTCACAGTAACTGTGCTGGCCGTGTTGTTTCAGGCTCTCTGCGGGTCATCTGGGGTCACTGGTGTGACGTTTGAAACCAGGGGTTGGGCCAGGCCAGGGGAACATGACTGAGCTGCTAGTCTAAACCAAAAAGGAAAAAGAGGCTACTAACTGACTTGCTTGACGCAGAATCACTCAACTGTGCAGAAATTCAATGTTACAGTGGAATAAACCTGTTAAGAGACATTTGTAGTCATGTGTTTGAGCGGCTAGTGACTTCAAAGTGAAAAGGAGAAACCTGACTTCTGGAGAATTCAAAGGGGGATTTAAAAGAAAGGAAAGAGTTTTCAATACACTGCCTGTATTGGTTATACATGAAATCTTCTTCGATCATCTACGCTATAGAAAACTAGTTTTCCGAGCATTTCATTCTACAGACATTGCATGCAAATAGTTTCATTTACCAGGTGCATACTACAGTACTCTTCAATCACTCTATCAAGTTAAGGAATGTCTTACAAAAACTTCAGGATGCAGCTCTACAGAATAATACCATCTTTCTGTGTCTATCGAGATTAAACACATACATCAAAGAGAGTGCATGAATAAGAAGGTGTCTTGGCATTGTCATGTAAACAGAATTTGGTTATGAGATGTGTCTTTAATAGTCATGTTGAGATTCTTCTGTTATAAAAACTACTATTTAAGGAGACAACAGGGTAGTTGGGATGCACTTGGAGCGGAGCTTGTTGTAGCCGTTTTCAAACCGCAGTGAGAGGCGAGGGGGCAAAGTCTGGGTTCAGGAAGGAGAAGCCCTCGAAGTCCTCCTGGTTTATAGCTGCTAGTATATCTGGGTCTGAGGGAGTGAGCACTGACGGAGCTGCCGTGAAGAACTTGTCGAAATTTTCACCATTTTTCCCGCACTAAAGAACAAGAAGAAGGAGATTAGAATGCAAATTCACACTTTAATACTGATTGCAAACACCATTACCTCCCACCTGACTAACATAAAAAGAGTTAAAACTATAAAAAACCTCCACCTCCGTGTTTCTTTTTTCTCACCCACACCCTCGTTTTCTCTCTCAGGATCTCTCTACCAAACCTACTGTAGGAAGAAAGCAGCTCACGCCTCTTTTCCTCCTCCTTTACAGTGTATGACAGCCGCTCTGCTGCATGATATGAATCTCATTTGGCTAATGGGACTGGCCTCTAACCCCTGAGCTCACTCAGCTCACCTCACCATTTGCAAGCAGGGCTGCAAACTGGTGTGTGGTGGGCTAATGATGACATATATTAGCATATGGGAGGAGTAGGCAGGACCCAAAGGCCAGAGGCTCCTGTCTATTATGACTGTTCTGTCTCTAGGTATAGCAGCAAAAAGAGAGGGGAAAGAGAGAAAAGAGGGAGACGGAGGTAAGGACAGGGACATTTGAAAAGGGAAAAGAAGACGGACTGAAAAGGCCAACAGACAGAGAGCGGATGCATGCTGGGAAATGAGGGACAGTGGGAGTTAGAGAGAGAGGAGACAGATGGCATAAAGTGACAGCTTCAAATCCCTTAAAGTGTCCTGAGAGAGACTGAGGATAAAGTAAAGAAAGAAAGTGGAAGTAGAAAGGTGAGTGACAAGAAAGAAAGAAAGAGTGAAAGAGAGAGAGAGAGAAAGAAAAAAGAAAGAAAGGAGAGAAAAAGAAAGAAATAAAGTCAGTAAATTGTGTAGTCCATCTGTTCCACTGACAGTTCTGGGTATGAATGGTGTTTGGAGCTCCAGTCTCTCCAGACGGTCCCAGTCAATCCAACGAAAGAAGGGATGTTCCCTGATCTCTCTCTCTGCGTCTTCTCCTCCACCTAGACGCTTGGCAGGATGCTTCGTTAGGAGCTTGGGAAAAAGAGGATAAAGAAAAGAAAAATATCTTGTCAGTCACAGGACACAGGTGTGTGATTTCTGTGTCTGAACAGTTTTGCTGTAAATGTCATCAATGTGTATGGAGAGCTTTGCTCATTTAAAAAACAAAAACTAAATTTAAAATATTTTTCAATTCCTTTTACTTTACTTTTTTCCCGGATTTACATTTGCATTTATATTATTTGTGATCAATGAGGTTAAGATAAGAATCTTTAAGCATGTTAGCTCAGCTTAAGAATAGTAACAGTAAAAGTAGCAAGTCATATCACAAATAGTAGCAGCATATTTTAATCTTCTCTTATTTGTTTTCATGTTTTCTAAAAACGGGACAAAAGCCAACGTTTAACGGTATGTTGTTTAAAGGCCGTTTATGTGCAGGAGTACTCCTTAACAGTCATTCGGTTAACCCACTGAGATGATCATTTTTCCTAAAAACACAAGGAGGTATAATTTAAGTGAGCTTAAGACTCTCTGGAAGACAGACAGGTTTGTCCCCCTGTTTACAGTCTTTACTAGCAGCCATTAGCTTGTTAAGCCCAGCTAATGGCTGCTAGATCTAGCTGGATTTCTAACTGGCAGATATGAAAGTGGTTCCATTTTTCACCCAGTTCTCAAATTGAGAAAAAAGGCATTCAACTATTCATTTACAGGGTCCAAAGTTTGAACAGTTAAGCGTTTTGGGATAGTATTCTAATATGTTTAAGAAATGAAATGTGAGAAAATGTCAATTAATTTAATCTTAAATGTCTTTGCTCAACGGTATACGAGTTAGAAAGAAATGAAGTGGTAACTTACTCCCTTGCAGATAGCGACAGCTTCACGAGAGAGACTTTTGGGGTACGAGACGCTCTGCTCCATGATGGACTGAAACAGCTCCTCCTCATCTATACCATCAAACGGTGGCTGGAAGGGAAAAGAAAGTGAGAGAGAGAAATGAGGAAAAAAAGGAACAATAAAGACCTGAGAGCAAATTAAAGGCAAATATATTGAAATGGAATTCTTTCAAAAGTCTTTTGAAGTTATTACAAAGGACGAGTACTGCAGGCTTTAACGTCTGTGTTCACGGGTATATTGTGCGGATTAAATGTTACCTGTCCTGCCAGCATTTCATACAGCAGTACTCCATAGGACCACCAGTCTACTGCTTTATCATAGGGCTGATATGCCACAATCTGAAAAGCATGGAGAGAAAATGGATACAGGGGAGTGAGATAAGAAAGTAAAAGTAGACAAGCTGCGACAGAGAAGGCAGTAAAGCTGTGGCAGCTCGGATGATTTGCTGCTGCCGGAAAGAGGCAGAAATAAAAAAGCAGTGTGAGAAAAAAGTGAGAGCACGGCACAAGTGAGCGGTTAATGTATGAATGATCTCATAATAAGAAGAACATGACTTTGGGTTTGTGTGTTTACATGTGTTTGTTTCCCTGTTTTGTGTGTGTGTTTGTGTGTATGTGATCCTGTGTTTACAGGAAGGGAGGTGGGAGGAGCACGAGGGAACAATTCCCAGCCCCTAGGGAAATATATTGTATCCCCTCCAAAATGGCAGATGCAAGAGAATCAATGGGTGTTTACATAAGCCAGTCAATACCCAGGGGTGCCATAGCATGGTTTACACTTTCAAAGAAACACGTCACATCTTCTCTCTCTCTCTCTCTCTCTGTCTATCTCTGTCTCTGTCTCTCTCTGTCTCTCTCTCTCTCTCTCTCTCTCTCTCTCTCTCTCTCTCTCTCTCTCTCTCTCTGTCTCTCTCTCTATCGCTGTCTAGAAGAAGTTCCAAAAAATTACTGAATATCACCTTTTGTTTTTTCTTAAATCTAATTTGTTTGTGGCTTTTACAGGGACACACATACATTGTTATTTAAAGTATTTGTAAGGCAAACATGCAGCATACAGTAATAATGTTTTGTATCTCAAAAATGTGCACAAATCAAAAACACCTTAACCTCCATAACAGCTGTTTCCAGCCTAAATTTTGCCTTAAAAATACAATTTTAAGTTAGCTTGCAGTAGTGTGTTTTTCTCAGGGGAGCTTTACACCTTAAGTTATACAAAAAACTGCATATACAAGGTTTCTGAAGGACAAGGGGGGGATTACTATGCACGTTCAGATAACACAAGCACACACACCACTGCTAATAGAATCATGGGAAGTTAATTATTCAAAAATGCTGACAAGGTCAAAGAGGACGGAGGAGAAGAGAGGATCTGCAGCGAAGCAACTCACTCGTCTTACAGTGATGCAAAACAGGTCAAGCTAATGAAAAGGGGAAGACAGGGGTGAAACGAGAGGAAATGAGGGCTCTGAGGAACAAATGAGGGGAGTTCAGGACCATGAAGTGAGGGCAGCGGGTTCAGGGTACCTCAGGGGCGATGTAGTCGGGGGTGCCGCAGAAGGTGCGCGTGGTATCGCCTTCGAACATGCCCTCCCTGCACATCCCGAAATCAGCTATCTTTATGTGGCCCTCGCTGTCAAGCAGCACGTTATCCAGCTTCAGATCCCTGAGATGAAAGGAGACAGATCACATGGCATGAATCATTTTGATAGATAACATCTTTATAACAGTCATTAGCTATAAGAGACACAGATAAATCTGTTTCACGTCTGTTGGCTGGGTGGTGACAGCACCAAGCTATAGGTCTTGTTAGTCGAGTGTCCCACTCCTCTTACCTGTAGATGATGCCTTTGCTGTGGAGGAAGAAGAGGCCGACAGCTATCTCTGCTGCATAAAACCTGGAGAGAGAGGGAGAGAAGAGGAGGCGTAGGGTGGAGGACGGGGGTCACAACTAGTTGTTTTATCTTGCAGAAGAGGTTTGTCAGCCAGTATAGAGGGGAATGGGGCTGAAGAGGGTGATGAAAGGGAAAGTAACCAAAAAGATGAAAGGCGGAGTGATGAAGAAAGAGATCTGGAAATGAGCAACAGGGTAAGAACTAGTTTGAGATGATTGATCAAAGATTATTGATCAGATGAACAGCCAGAGGGGGGGGAAACGTAGATGGAAAGATGAGATTGGTGGGAGGAGAAAGTCGGGGAAAAGGGAAGGGGGCCTCGACTTGAGTTGATGATTTCTTGATGCCTCACTGTGTATAATGAACAAAGCAAAGAGACGAGTGTGTATGCAAAAGAACAGAGAGAGGCTGGAAATGACACGCTGCAGATGAGGACTGTGATTAAAGGCAAAAGAAAAGAGCTTTTTGACTACATACGCTGCGTGAGGCTCTTTGAACTTGCCGACTATCTGAATGTGGAACATCAGGTCTCCGCCGTTGACATATTCCATCACATAATACAGACGGTCCTGTAGGAAAAGCACACGGACATACCCGCTCTCCATACATAATCACCTCTGTGTCTGTATTAAAAAGCAATCTGTTAAAACCTCTCCTCCAGGACACAGGGCCTTGTTATAGAAAGCAAGCTAATTATTGAATTTTATTAATGAAAACTCAACTCCTGGGAGGACTACGCTGCCAAAATGTCAGGCAGGTTTATGGACAATTTGATGGAGGTTATCCCAGTGTACCCTCTATACACACACACACACACACACACCTCAGTTTGGAAAGCGCAGTAAAGCGATGTGAGGAAGTAAGGGCGAGAGGAAAGCGCTAGAACCCTCCTCTCCACCAGGGCGCTCTCCGTGTCCTCGTCCTGAAAGAGAACGTCTTTCTTCAACACTTTGACGGCGAACAGACGCTCGCTGCCTCGCTCCTCAGCCAGCAGCACCTGCAACGAAACACAGAGAGGAGAGAAAGTTACTCTTACATTTTAAAGGAGTATCTGCATGTACTTAACTGCTATAAATAATCACAAAGTCTATTTATAGACAACACTAAACCGACCAGAAGGGAAGCAGAAAAAATAGGAGGATGAGTGCAACAGCTAAAAATCCTTCTTTTAAGCACTTCTTTTAAAAATGCCTCACAAAGTCGGCATACAGCAGCTTGTGCATCAAACCAGGAAAAGTTTTTTTTCAACATTTCTTTGACACAAAGTGCGTTCAAAATCAACAGTGTCTGTCCCCCCAGCTTCTTCTCTAGCTCCAGATAGAATGATACATGTACTGTACAGTAACTCTGCCAGTACTGAACGTTTTTTAGGTCATTGTGTAATGAGTGACAAGGTGCTCCAGTTAGCAGAACACTACTTCTGCTGTTTTATTAAATTGAAGTGCTTTTGAGGCATATTTGCAACACTTTAGAGATTTCGTGGCTGACAGTCGGATCGAATCCCAAACAAGCCCTTTACCCCTAGTTTATGTGTATGGGTGACTTTATTTATGCCCCCTAAGAATGGCACCACAAGGGGTAGGAATAAGCACACCTAGGAAATGTTATACGTTTGATTATTCCATATTTTTCAAACTTCTTGTAAGTTACACAGAAATAACTGTACTGTTATTTACAAGCTGCACTCCACGAAAGTTTCTACTCACAACATAAATAACACATTCTGACATGCTTGTTGTAATGACCCAGTTACATTCCTTTGCATCAACACAACACAAGGACATTTCACTGGATGTTTGACATCTTGCCTGATTATTTGCAATGATTTGGGTCTCCACTTGTGCTGCGTCAAATTGCAACGAATTATAAGTTATAAGATTTCTTCTGCCACTGTATTCTGAGTCTCAATTATGCTTGCTCTATATGAGAAAAATATGCAATGCGCTATTTCATTGTTCAGTATTATCATGACTCTATAAAGTGGGATGAATACATTCATATTAAAGAGTGCATAATAGCTAGAACTCCTGCTTTTCTTTATGTGTTTACACAATAATATCTGTGTTTGAAACTTGAACATCCTGATTCAAAAATAAATCCAAAAAGCAATTTTTAACATCAATTAATCTGAGGGTAGCTAATAGCTAGTTTTAGCTTCATCTGACTGCATCAAAACTGTGTAAAAGCATGGCCTTTATAACCAGGGCTCTGTCTGATACATGATATGTACATGCTGAGTTTGAAAGTACTGCTCGTTTACTTGAATTTATTTTTCTAATTTTATTGCGATAAATTCAGACTTTTGTAATGTGTTTCTTGTAAATGCTCGTATCGCTATAACTATGAATTTATGTTCAACTGAGCAGCCCTCGTCATGGATGATCACAAACCCTCCATCCACAATAGAGATGGGACACATTACCCTCCTCATGAGAACTCAAAAGAAAGCCGTTGGGAAAAGTTGGAGAGAAAACCTTAGAGCCAGGCCAAGCTTGTTTCAGATGCTCAGTATTGAAATGTGTGTATAATCACAGGACAATATAGTAGTGCAAGAGAAAAGAGTGATCACATGAAACGGACGGATGCTTGAAAAAGATCATTCCTGTGCACATGTATCTCATTGTGCAATAACTGAAGCTGAGTTTAATTAAAGCTTCTCCACATCTGAAGGTTTCCACACACATTATTGTGTCATGAATGAAACGCAAAGCGGCTCTCGTGATTTTATCAGACATTTAAAACACATTCGGTGGCTATTTCACACTCCTTTGAAATCGGCTGCTATGGGTGGACATAATGATGCTGTAATTTCCTCCACTGAGAGCTGCATGAACCAGGATTTAGCGTGGTAAAGATATGGTAAAGAGCAATGGAAACTGCTGACAACAACACTGTTTCAAATTGCCTGGTCTAACCGCAGCGCTGTGCTGTAATGGTCACTCGCCTGCTGAGAGCTCATTTTACTTTCATATAGTGATGAATGGAAGAGAACTTTACTCGGTTTCATTCTTCAAAATTCAATGCGACTACATAAAGGGGCTTGTGAAGGAGGCTGTGTTTCTATATATACAGTATATGTGTGCATGTATCAATGAGCTCCCAGTCACTGAGAGAAATCCTGCCGTCCTCTTTGTTTCATGCTCTTCCCCGAGGTCTCAAACTAACTCCCGTAAAAGTGGGATACATCACCCTTCAGATTATTACAAATCTCACGAACAGTCACATGTACTGTCTCCTCTTTTTCCGCTCATGTTATCCCATTTCCTTTTGGTCATTTTGTCACTTTCTGCTGCACAGTAATCCTTTTCTCTCTTTCTATCTCTCTTCCTCACTTCCCCTCAGTCAGCAGCCCCAGGGTCTGTCTCTCCTTTCTTGGGTCCTATTTTTTCCCCTCACATCTTACGTAAGTCGAGTCTATTTCTCCTGTCCTCTGTAGACTGCTCTGACAGTTATGAAACAGCACAGGGGGATTTCAGAGGAGGAAGAAGGAGGACTCGAGACTCCATTCTCTTCATTATGCCTCATCTGCTGGGGAATTAAAGAGAGAATGGAGAGCAGAGGCTTGCTTGAAATGAACACCTCCAGGAGGACTGTCTGTGCCTGTCTTTGTGTCATGTAGGAAGCCAGCCCAAGCTCACGACTGCTGACAGCACTGAAGAAGCTAAGGGTTAAATGAATCATTTGTAGGAGAGACAATGAGCATGTTAGTATAAAAGAGGGTGTTTCTCTCCTGCCTTGCTCTATCCTGGAGCTGCTGAATGAAATGCCACTTGAAGGTCAAGTCCATCAATAGAGGAAACCATTTAAAGCCAGGAATAATCTGTGTTGTCTTAAGCATGAATAGCCTCTTTGATTTCTGTTACAGCTGTTGGATGAGAGGTGCTGATTGAGTGTAGAATAGATGACATTTCCTCTCTGTGGCTGCTGTGTTTACCTTGCCAAAGCTGCCTTTGCCCAGCACCATAAGGAAGTTAAAGTCATGGATGCCCACTTTTACTTTGGCTGGGCCCGGTTGGTGGATAGGTTGGCAGGATGGCACAGGGGTAGGGGACAGGGCCACTGGGAACCCTTCAGACAACGGGATGGGTATCGCTTGAGGCAAAGAGGGGGTTATAGCATCTGGCTGCGGCTCCTGGAGAATCAAAGTGGAAAGATTTATTTTTGAATGGAGGTACACAGTCCAATAGACACACAAGACCTGAACACCAAACAAACAAACTTCCTACCCCCTAGTTAAGGACAGAGTCAGCCAGAACAATCATGCACCCTGCTGGAGACTGTGGGTAACAGAGAAGGAAGGGGACTCTATATAATTTATTATCTAATTATTTAGCTTCAACTCCAGACATTAATCTTCTGGGTTTTTCCACCCTTGATAGAATAGTAAGTTAAACATCCTCCTGACCCAGAGTGAGCAGTGGCAGCTGCTGTTTATTAGATGTAGATGGAATTATAAGCCGATAAAGGCCTTGCCAAGGCCCGAGGATAAATGGTCAGTCTCAAAGTACAAAATAAAGGCCTGCTCCACTTGGTTGGATAGAGATATAAATATCAGCACTGACTTATGGTTCAGCCTGACGACCGACTGATGGCTTATTTTTGTAGCTAGTTTCCTACCTGCAGGTCGGGGTCTGGCACAGGGATGTTGTAGTACTCTCCCTCATCCTGAGCCAGCAGTTTGAACCAACCGCTGATGGGACGCCTGAAGATCTCGCTCACTCCAAATGACAGCGCTCCCATGAAGTCATTCCTGGACGTGCGGTCCCAGTCCCACACCTCCACAGACAATCTCCTGTCCCATTGGTGACCTCGCACTGAGCTAGAGAGACAATCACCTAAGCTCAAATCACTGGGGAGGTTTTGCTTATTGTATTAGCAACACAACAATGCACAAAGACACAAGAATGATTGTATTCCAGGTGTCTCGGGAAATTTCCTAATATACTGAACATCAGAAACCTAAGGGCAACATTTTAACACTGTTTTACACATTCAGGGACCGTCAAACCTTTATTCAAAAGTCTATTCCTCATCTTTCAGGATGCTTTCAATTAGATTTAAGTATACAAGGACTCACAAGATGAAACTTTCGTTCCAAACAGGGTTGAGTGTTGAGCGGATGGTCTTGGTTTTCTGTTTGCTGTGGCTCTTTGGGTCTGGAATAAGTTTCAGTTTCACATATGGGTCTGAAAGGCCGTTTGGATCCATAGGCATTAGGTTACGAGCCTCCCGTACTAGAAAATAAGATAAATAGCAAAGAGAAAAAGGAGGAACAAATCCTTTACTACCTATAAAATCATGTTTTAAAAAAAAAAAAAAAAAGATCTCTTTGTCTTCTTACCTGTGACGTAGACATCCTCTGACTCTCCTTTAATGGTCAGGTGGATCCTGCCTCTCTTCTCTGTGTGGTCCTGGCCGCAGAGGCTGGGAACACTGGTCTCACACCGTCGATGGACATTCATGTCACAACCTCATCGTAGAAGATACACACACACAAACACATCAAAACACATGCAAATGAGCCAAAATGGAACATGCATCATAAAATACGTCGTAAGAAATGGCGATTCCAAAACAGTCTTGTAGGCTGTCATAATGCTTCCTCTCTCTATGGTTTCAATCCGACAGTCAAATACAAATTTGATTAATAACGGGAAGTTTTGGACAAAGCATCAACTTACATTAATTCCCAATAGACTAACCCCAACCTTAACCATAACCCAGCACATGTCTGAACCCTGATCCAAACCACAGAGGAGCAGTTCATCAACTATCCCATGAAGTAGGACATCAAACTGTCACACTGAAAATAAACAATTCTGTACACTTCTCTTGCTAAGCATCACTGATGTTATAGAAAAAAACATGTTTCTATCTCTCTGAAACTTTGCTAATAAAACACTTGACAAAGGTTCGGAGGGACCGAAACGTTGTGATTTATTTCTAATAAACTGGTGATGCTCAGCAAGAGTAGTGTACAAGATTTTTTTCTTTTCAATGTTATAGTCTTGATTAAGAAAATAAAATCTGAACTCTCATTTTAAACCTATAATTATAATCAATTAGTATGTTGTTATTTTTGAATGCTGTTTTTATCTCCTTGTACAACTGACGTCTCCTGAAAACACTTTAATGTTGTGTGTATATATATATTTTTTTTTAAATGTGTTTTGGGTCCCAAAAATTGCCTGTGTAAACTGACCTACAACGCGATCATTACAAATACTAACTCACACAGATTTATCCCACTCAGGTGAAACTCACAGGTACATTTCATGCCCTGGTGTATGAGTCCGTACAGCAGCGAGCCGCAGTGATCACAGAAGGTGGGACTGGAGTAAGTTTGGACCTTAAATGTGTGTCGACTCTTCAGGTCCTAAAATACAACGGAAACAATCTGCATTTAGAACGAGTACAGGAAAGTGACAGTGAACACACACACACACACACACACACACACACACACACACACACACACACACACGGTATGATTAGTAGAGATGTTGAGTAGGGTATTCATGGACAAGCCAATTAGATTTCTCTGCTGGGAGAGGACATAAATGAGAGTGCATCTTAGCAAGGCTGTGTTTGAGTGTATATCAGTGTGTGTGTGTGTGTGTGTGTGTGTGTGTGTGTGTGTGTGTGTGTGTGTGTGCATATAGGTGTGTGTATTCTTTGCAGAGAGAGATGAATCATTTTTATCTCTCTTCACTGCACTGGACCCCACACACCACCTTCTCCCAAACTGTTTTCCCTCTGTCGTCCCTTTGAGCAGCTATTTAAAAACTCTGTCACCCATATTCTCTTCCTGTTTGTGTGTTCCCCTCACTCTCACACACTAAAACAGTCCCATACACACACATGTTCCCCGTGCCCTCATTTCTGGAGCAGTTTATTTGGACAGCAAGGAAACAGTGAAAATGTCTTTGAAAGCAACAGAGAAAAAAACTGAGCCAGTCTTTCTCTCTCCCCTGTAATTCTCCTGTCTTATCAGTACCTCCTACCCTCCACCTGTACACCCCCCCCCTCCCTCCAGTCCCTGTCTCCAACTCCTTGCATCTGCACGGCCTTGTAGCATGACATGACACGAGACGTCACAGACGTCACACAGCTGACAAGGCTGCATAATGCCAAGGATGTATGGACTGACAGATGAGTCATGCACACGTGATACTGGCAACTAGCTGATGGCTAAATATGACGAAGGGGTAAATCATGCCTAAAATGGAATACAAAAAAGGAAAAGGGATGAAAAACAGACACATCTGCTCACATCTGGATTTGGGCCCGCCACAGAGCCAGGACAAGTGAAGGTCACGAACTCATGACATCTTTTGTGGACCACAAAACTGCAAACTAGAGAAAAGACAGAGAAAGACATTCCCCACCCCCAAAATAGTCAAGTCATGCTGAGAAAATCATCCAAGAAAGATTTTACACTGCAGGAAAATTCAATAACTTGGTTAATCTTTACCTTGACATTGGAATCCCTGTTTGCCAATGCCCCTGAGAAAAAAAAAGCACTTGGATTAAGACACGAATGCAATCTTCTCTACTTCTCTTTAAGGTGAAATATTTTGCTTGTGAGACTGTTTCTCAGCCAGAAGAGTACAGATAATGCTGCCAAGACTAAGATAGGGCAACTGCATTATTGTATTCTGTATTTAAACCAAGACATGCAGACAGAGGAAGAGAATAAAGTCTGTCTAATAAAAAAACAAACTCCACTACCTGTGTAGACTTGATAAACAAGGTAATTATGCATTAAGTTTGAGTATCTTTCCTTATAAGCCACACTGCTGACCAGGTCAAGTGGAATAGTTTCAATTATTGTCTCTCTCACACACACACACACACACACACACACACACACACACACACACACACACACACACACACACGCATAAACACAATGCTCCTGTTTCAAGAACTGCGGTGTTGGCTCGTTTCCAGTATCTCCTTAGAGCTTTAATTGAATAATTAAAGCCATTGATTGAGTAAAGAGTCCACTCAGCGGCCTGCCTGCTGTGAATCAAGTTTTGATTAGGAGGTTTAGAAAAAGAAGATGAACGAGAAGCCGCCAAGAGCTCCTCCACAATCATCCTGCAGAGGCCCGGGGGTTCATAGGAAAACTGACCATAATCACTGATCTAAAATCAGTTCACCATCTGGCTAGGTAATAATTAAAGAGAGAGCTGCAGAGGGTAATCTGATCCTTGATCAGCATTCAACAGAAGCCTCTGTAGGCAAAATGAGGTGTATGTATATTTTTGACCAGCAGAGAGCATTAGAGAACCAGAGATGGGTTTAAGGGAATCGGCAGTGTTGCTGCCTGCACAGATATCAGAGGGAATTCACTACATTTTTAAATTGAATGATGCATTGAAACATCTTTCTGACACAAGCCATTCAAAAACAGGTGCCATTCAAAAAAACATCAGAATATGAATCCTCAATACATCCTGGGCGATCTAGCATTGAGTATAAAATTACAAATAAATAACTTAAAAGAAATGCAACACATTCAAAAAGAATCCTTGTCTTGGCAATGGCCTTTTTTCAGGTTCATTTTCTGACATGTTACAGTTGAAAAACACAACTGTGTAAAACAAAGTTTTAAAATGGATACAAAGTTACAAAGTTTTATGATGTCTGGATTGCATTTAGAGGCCTCAGTTTCAGGATATGGTGTATGCTGACTCACCGTTACACTGTCATGGCTAACTGAGACACTTGAGCAGATTATTTCCATCATTCATGAGTAACGCCTGTGCATTCCCTACTATGACAGTGTAGTATATAGATGTATAATGTACCATTATATGCACTTATTCAGGTCTTATCTGTGTGTGTGTGTGTGTGTGTGTGTGTGTGTGTGTGTGTGAGCACACATGGCCAATAAAGCTGATTCTGATTGTTAAAATACATCTTATTTTAATGTTGGCATGGCACATTTTGATTCACATCACCCTGGCGCTGCACACAACGACAATGCGTATGTTTGTGTGGTCTGAGTCAGATTGAGAAGACTGAGCAGAAGGCCTGCCAGCTGATATTCAATCATGACACTAGTTACTGAATGGTAAGTAACAAAACATGATACTATCAACATAATAGTGTTAGCTATGCTATATTGTTTATTAGATCATATGTAGATCATCTACTGCCCATTACTCTGGCAGCTGGAACTGATGTCTGTAGTCGATAACTGTGCATTTAATACTTTGCCAAAGGACATCACCATTACTCCTGTGATAGGGTTAAATGATCTGCCTTATTTCCATAATGAATACCAAAGAGTAACTAAGTCTGAATCAGAAAGTTATGGAATAAATGGAAAAATATGGAATATATATATATTTTAGTTTCTATATGATGTATACAAACACTAAATTACATAGTTGGATGGCTAGTTTCTTACTCTCCACAAATAAGATTTTTAACTGTGACACTGATAACATATTTTTGTTTTGAGTAAATCCCATTCAATTGATGATTTAAAAAAGCCATAAAAGGAACAACCAATTCCATTTTAGTGTCTGATTAAACAAGATATTTACGTTTCAACCATCTTTCCTTAGTCTTTAATTAATCCAAACATCCCTACGAGGGCTTCCACACCCAGGTTGAAATCCTGCATGAAGGAAAATAGTTTTCACCCTGAGCTAAGTGCTGCTACTGCAGCCAAGACAGCAGCCAGTTGGAGAAATGTCCTGAAAGCTTCCCAGAGGCTGCTGGCACACACACCGCCCTGCGTCCGACATACACCCCCACCATATGTCCAACACACGCAATCACACATTTGCACTGCACACAGAAAGATTCACACATACACAGCTACTGTTTTACTAGATGAAACGAGCTCCATGCACCTCTTTGGTGGATGCATTTCTGAATGACCAGTGAGGTGCCTGCATGTCAACGGTCTACACAAACAAGAACGATGACTCAATTGGTCCACACATGTAAGAAACTAGCATTTTTAATGCTTTTTTTAAACTTCATTCTTTTTTTCAGAAGATCCTATCCACTGCATTGACCTGTTAATACTTTGCAGATGAGTAGTTGGTAAAGAACATATCATCTATGTACAGCTTTGTTACAACACATTCTTCATCTTATAGTTTTCCATTTTTGGCAGGATTTATCCAACAGTTATCAAACCGTTTATTTGTTTTGAGAATTCATTCAAATTGTTTTATGCTTTGGCTTCACTGATTTGACTGAATTCTAGTTTACTAAATACTATGAGTACTATAAGCCTGTGAACACATTCATCATTATTCTTGCTCTGCAGGAGCCTCCAAAAGCCTGAAAAACAGTCCTCTAGCTTACTCAGTATAGCAGGATCTTTTGAAAATTGCTACTGTGCAGCATTATAAGAATGAAACAATCCGGCATATTTTATCTTATTCCGTCCTACAGACTAATAGTCAGGATATTAGAGTTAATTTAACTATTGTTGTTATGATCTGGCCATTCCAACTTTCTTTTCACACTTAAGTATTTTTTTCAACAGAAAACAATAGCACAGAATGGCAACACGATTGCCAGGCATTATGAGATTTGAAATTCCCAGATATCAACTTCAGTTGGAGATTTTGCACAGGAGGTCTGTCTCACACTTTAGAGTAGTTCCAACTCTACAGAAGTGACTTGCTAAATAAATGGAGTAACGCTTTAATATCTGAATAAATCCTCCTACATTGCTACCCCTGTGAGTTTGTACATGTAAAAAATAAAAATAAAGTGATGTGCATACTGTATGTGTTATTCTTACATGTGGTTGCACAAAGTTCCTAAATTAATTCCTGTATGGTGTGGGCTGCATGTGGAGGTGAGGTTATGTGATGAGGTCAGTGTGGTGGCTACACAGTGTAGGCTGTTTCTTCAGCAGGAAGCTCGAGCTGGTGGAAGAAAGAAAACGTTCCACGAAAGTCAAAGTCAGATGGAGTAGTGGGATGCCTGAGGAGGCGGCTTATGAACCGACAGGGTTGGTATCTGTGAAAATGTGGGGCTGCTTGTGTATGTGTTTGTGTGTGTTACCATATGAAGTCGGTGCAGTGGCTGCAGAAGGTGGGCTGTTTGAAGAAGCGGGCTGTGAACTGATGGTCTTTCACCTCCACAATCCTCTTGTGTTTGAGCGCTCCCTTCCGCTGGAACACGGGCACTCTGGGTGGAGGGGAGAGCGGCGAGGGTAGAGGGGAGGCACCGGGGGAGGTCACCAATGTAGGGGACGCCAGTGTCAACGGTGAGAGGGAAGGGGGAGGGGAGACCGGGGTGGACATGATGCCTGGAGGATACAGTAGAGAAAGAGAGAGAGGGAGGGAGAGGATGATGAGCGTCAGTAGATAGGGTATTGAGTTGTACAGGAGAGAGACCTTGAAAGCAGGAGAGGGAGGAGTGAAGGAAGCAAGGACAGGGAGATGGAAGATGAGGAGAGGGAGAGATGAAAAGAGTAATGGGTCATTGTTGAGACAGGAGTTGTATTAATGGCACATGGGACCTAGGGTGGGGAGCGGTGGAGGAGTGACGTGAAGGAGAGAAAGTTCGAGAAAGGAAGAGGGAACCGGAAGTGCAAAGGAAGACGGAGGGAGCGCATGAGTATGATGGAGAAAATAGATGTGTAATGAGGGAGACATGGAGGTTAATTCACACACAGAGACAGAACGCTCCTCCGAGACGCTAAACGATTATTGCAACTCTCTGTGTGTCCCACATACTGCCTGTCCATTTAGCCCCTTATATCTCCCTCGCAGCTATGAATACAAACCCCCCTCCAGCCCCTAGCCGTCATGTCAACTGTACCTCCTGTTGCCATGATAACAACACCCCCACCACCTGCTCCAATATTAGAGGATGTATCCTTCCCTGACTTCCTCCCTGCCCTCATAAGAAAGTAGTCCCGTTACCGAAGTAAAGTTTAAACTAGAAAAATATGCATCGTTTATGTCTAAAGCAAATCAGGTGTGCTGAAAAAATAGTGCAAAACGCAAATATTACACAGAGGGATTGTGGTTGAGGTTCTTGCATACTAATAAATGATAAATGAAAAAGCAACAGAGAATTAATGTATAAAAAAAGACTATTAAAAACATGTTAAAAATGTGATGCAACAACGGTGTTTTAGGAAAGAAGCAGGGAGAACTCAAAAGGATAAAAGAGGACAATGATAAAAGTCACAGTTCTGACTATTTAGTAAAATAATGTTATAAATAATTCAAAGAAATATGTTCTAAAATTGCTTTGACCCATACAGCAAAGATGAAAAAAGACACAGTACCTTAATTTGTGGTGGTTTTGAAGTAAAGGCGTGACTTAAGGACAGCTTTTTTCTCTTACTCTCCCCCTCTTCTTCTCCTTGTTTGGCTCACTTCAAAGGAAAGGCTAAGGTGTCACACCTGTAGCTGGTCACCTCAAAAAAAAAAAGGAAAAAGAAGGAAAGAAAAGGCAGCAGCAGATCTATGGCAGGTAAGAAGAAAAGGATCAGCCAAAATAAATGAAAGAAAAAAACCTATTACAACAAAAAAAAAGAGAGCAACAAGCTTTTGGCAAGATTCAAGCTTTCTAGGAACCAAAGATAGAAAAGTGAAGTGGTATATCCGTTAACCCAGAGGCAGGGTGAGGAGGAGGACGAGATAGAGAGGTGGTATTCTCTTTCCAAGATTGGTTCTCTTTTCACCAAGTAGAAGATGATGGAGATGGATAGAGAGCGAGAGATGGAGAGAGAGTGAAAGAGAGAGAGGGAGTCAGAAAGAGAGAGGGAGAGAGAGAGTGTGTGTGTGAGAGAGAGAGAGAGAGAGAGAGAGAGAGAGAGAGAGAGAGGAGAAAGATTGAGGGGAATAGGCAGCGATTCATTTGGAAATCTGGGTTACTTCTCTCAGGAGAGGGTGAGGAAGAAGGACGGATGAGACAGAAGATGCCATTTTGCCATTACCGATACAGTATGGAGAAGCAAGTGCCAACTGTCCCTCAGTTCCTCTAGTGCCAGAAGGAGAGAAGAAAGGAAAAGAAACCAGAGAGCGTGCAATCTGGAAAAAAGAACAAAAGATTCAGAGGAGTTAACAAATGGCTTGTTAAGCAGAGCTAACACGGGAAAGAAACCGTTAGAAGTCTTGGGAGTTTGCAGCAGATCCAGATGACTGAAGGATCAACAGGCCTGTAAAATGAACATCTCTGTTAATCTTTTCTGCAACAGTTAACAGTATGTTCACTGCATTTCCAATTTGTTCTGAGATCAGAGCAAATGGTGAAATGATAACACAGCTCCACTGTGCACAGAAACCAGGTCAGCTGAGCCTGATGGGAAGAGTAGTTTTCAAGAGAGAGGGGTTGTATGTCCATTGATTGCCCACATACCGTCAAGGCGACACACACACACACACACACACACACACACACACACACACACACACACACACACACACACACACACACACACACACACACACACACACACACACACACACACACACACACACAGAATTTTATCGCTAAGAAACACACTGCATTGACTGGTCTTAAAGATATAGCTCAACTTTTGTTTCTTGCAGAGAGCCAGAAGAGAAAACTGCTAACACTCTCATGTCGAAAGCAGGTCAAATTTGCTTTTAGCGCGCCAGCACATGGTTAGTTTAGCTTAGCATAAATAGACTGTTAACAGGGAAACAGCTTAACTGGCTCTGTTACAGCGACAGAGGAACATGTTACATCCCTTTTGTTGTATAAACAACAACTTGCTCTTTTTCAGGGGGAGATGTGCCAGCCTGTTTCTTGGCTGGAACCAGTTGCCAGGCAACTGACAGAGACTGGACTACTATAACGTGTTAATTAGTGGGCTTTGGGGTGCTGGTAGACTGATTTATTTTCACCTTTGGATAGAGTGAGGCTAGGTGTTTCCCCCTTCATGCTAAGCTAAGCTAACCCCCTGCTGGCTTCAGCTGTGAATTTTAGAGATTTGAGGATGACATCAATCTTGTCATTCACAACTCAGCAATTAAATAAATAGGCATGTATCCATAAAAGAAAAACAACTGTCCCTTGAACCCTACAACATACTTTGTGGAGACCTGCTGTTTGTCCTTCATTATAAGATGAGTCCCCATTCAGCGACTGTGGTAACAGATGTTTGTCCCTGAAAAATATGTAATACAAGTACACACATTCACACACAATTAATCACACTCCGTATGTGCACATGCTCTATGGACAACCTTGGGCGACGAATGCAGCAGGTGGGAGAGGGGATGAAGGCAGGCAGGGGACGAAGGGGTGGATTGGAGTGGGATGGAGAGACTGGTAGAGGGAGCGAAGGGTTGAAGGTCTAATTAATGGAAATGTAGGTTATTAGTCTCCTGATGAGGACACTGGCAGAGAATTAATTAACAATTATAATTAGCAAGATTGTTAGAGAGCAAAATGGTGTCAGCCAGCAAGATAAGAGCAAGCTATTGTGCATATGTGTGTTATGTCTGTGTGTGTGCTGGAGCCTGTCATTATTACGTGTGGTTAAAAAAAACAGCTGTGAAAACATGCCCTATCTGACAATGATATATGTCATTTCAGCATTAGTCATGCAGAACAAGCAGCTGATTGGAAATGATAGGGTGCTTTCCTTCAAACAAAGCAGACCCTTCTCTACAAGAAAGTCATTTCTGACTTCATTTTCTTGCCCATAATCAGTCTTATCTTGAATGAATCATGTTCTTGTTCTGTTGTTGCAAATACATGAGGAACATGTCCTCACATAGTCAAGAGAAAGAGGGGAAAAATATGAGTTGTTGACCATCCACTCCTCAGTAATCGGGGCATTAAAAAACAAAGCACATGAATGGGTCGCAACACTTCCTCTCCATGCGGTGTGATGAGTAAGCACTTGTAGCTCTTAAGTGTCTGTATCAGTCTATGTTGCATGCCTTTCAGAGCATGTTTAACACTGTTTGATTCTGGGCCATAAAAGCAGACGGCTGTGCAGCCAGCAAATGATACATTAAGGCTGTAAACCAAGAAGACGTGCACATGCTGAACAATGGAAAAACACAAAGATGCTGCAGCATGATTAAGAGCAAAGGCACAATGAACTAAAACATAGACAGAAGGGAAGATACCAGTATGGCAGGTAACAGCATACTGGAAAAGGAGGATACATCAAAATCACAATCTGTGCGTTATAAGCGACTTTACATTATAACCTTAATATGATGGAATCTGGAAGCTGTTGCTGCCACTTCTGATCATGAGCACTTTCCATAGCTAGCTCCCCTCCCCTTTTCTCTCTCTACAGATGGCTATCTTATTATTTCTGACCATGGCTTAATGAAACAGAAAATTCTCCTGCGATGGGATCTTTTTTTGGGAGAGCAATCAGCACTTCACCAATTACACGCATCCATTATCGTCTAACGAGCGCTCACTCGTATCAAGCACAGGCTTCAACCTGGCTGGCTGGCTTCCTTTCTCCTTCAATGAAATTAAGGCAAACTGACTTGCCTAGCTATTGTTTGTGGAATCAGGGGAGAAGTGGTGTCTGAGGTAATCATATCGGCTTTTTAATGAAGAATGGTCGGCTATGCTATAAGTAGTCAGATGAGGCACTTAGCAGGCAACCAATGCCTATCAACATGGCCTACAACTATCAATACTAAAGCAAAACAGGCTCCATTTATTTTTTACTGCTGACCTGCCTCTCGTTACAACAACCAATACTGCTTAAATTCATCACATAAAGTCATACGCATGGTTTACGTGTGACATAGATCTAAATAAAAGGATGGGGCTGGGATTGGTTTGTTTAAAGGGCACTTATTGCCCCAAAGCACTCCAGTTCACTACAGTCCAGTTTGTTACACACTAGCATGGTTCAATTATGTCTGCAATTCCATTGGCAAGTTTTGGATTGTACCACTAGTACTACTCAATTCTGTTCTTTTTGTTCGTCACCCCTCTGTTATGGTACATAGCACACTGAATCAGGACTTGAAGGTTAAGAAATAAAGACTTTAGAACATTGATGATAAAGAGAGTTTTCACTTCTTGCATGACATACAGAAAAACTCTATGCTAGCCAGGCGTGACCGGGCAATTTGACAACAGGGAATACAGCACCGGTGTGGTGTTTTTGTCAGGTTCGGCTGAACCCCTGAAATCTCCTGGCTATGATACTCTGCCCCAGGCTTGAAAACCTTGACGTCCCTGCAGCTCATAGCTCCTGTGGTAGTTCAAGGTGTAACCACCAAATACCCCTAAATGCTCTAAGCTGTTGCATGAAGGAAAGTCTGCTACTTGTTTATTTTAGCTCAAACTTTTACCAAAATAACTTGAGAAACTAAGAACTGAAATCAGTTAATATAATTGTTTTCCCCCTACCAACTTTTAATTGTGTTTGCATAGCAGTTTATGAGACCTTGCACAAGACACATTCTTCTCTGAAGGTGTGTGTCTTGCCTCTGATTTGTCATCTGATAAACACTAAATAATTCAGAATCAGAGCTTTGAATATATCTTTCATGCCTTTTAAACAGTGCTCTGCCTAGGGGGATGGAGAATTCAGTTATAATCAGTTTTTGCAGGTTTTTTTTTTGGTTTTATGGGTCTTTTTGTTTTTGAATTTGGCCTGTTTATTCGCTCAACAGGTGCACTTAATGTATTTGTTTAGGCTCCGTGGCGAACATTACTTAATTTCGTTGCAGAAGCTGCACAGTATTCCCCCGAATGGAACCCTACTAAATTCATTCAATTAAAATTTTTTACTAATAGTTGCCTTTTAACATTTGCATATTGACATCACCATTTTCCTCTTGGTCTCAGCTCGTGCTGTTGGGTTCTTGTGTTGCCTGGGCTCTTATGATGGTTCTTGTGATGGTCGGGTTATATATGTCTGTTGGGTATCGTGCACTTTGGGTTCTTTTCTGTTGAATTGTATTTAATTATTCTTAGTATTTTGCATCTGTTATATTCTTACTGTTGTTAATGTTCTTCTGTGTTTGGTTTAGTTTGCTTTGTTCTTGCTGTTTGTCAAAGCACTTTGTAAACCTGTGTTTTTAAAAGGTGCTATATAAATAAAGTTATGATTATTATTATTATTATTTTGTTGGCCCTGTGCTTCTGGCCACCTGAAAAATGTAAGTCCAACAATCACTTTCATTTTATCTCTGTTATTTTTTTCTCTACTAGCTCCTGAGGGAAATATCCTGCTCTTTAGCTCTAAATGCTCCACTCACCCACTAATTGCTAATTGTGTTGGTCTGTTTTTGGTGCAGAGCAGAAAGGATACAGAGTTCAGTTTAAGGTCTTAAAAAACTACGTTGTATAACAGCTACACACAAAAACTGTGTATTAGAGCAATGAGAGTGAATAAAGAAAATCAAAATAGCCAGCTGTTAAACAAAAGCAATAGATCCATTATTAATATTAAAATGTTGATTGTAGCTTCTTTTTTTTTTAAGACAAGTGCATTATTATTATTTCTTTTCTTTTTTTTTCAAATATATCTTTGCATTTAATTAACACAATTTGTTGTGATCAATTCTTCAGTTGTGAACTAGGTAGAGTAATACTTGTGTTTAGTGGATTGAGATTCCACTGCAGGTGCAGATACAGGCCTGGAGTATAATTAGATTGGGACCATGGCCAAGCCAATAGATCATCTACTAACATGAGCACAACAGGCATGTGAGCTGAAGGAATTACTATTCACAGTATGTGCAAAATACTAACAAGAACTCAAAGCGTCAGCTGTAGGCTGGAAAAGCTTTCGTACTGCTGCGGGCAGGAAGAGGAGGTTGTTACAAAATATGCTCAAGGGGAAGGATGAAAGCAGGAGGGCAGGAGAATCAGGGTAAGAGGGGCGATCGGATAATGAGGCGAGGGGAGAACAAGGTAAAGTCTTAGGATATCTTAATCTTCTTCCCTGTTTCTAGGATGAATTCCCTTTCGGCTGGTGGCACACACACATGCACACACACATGCACTCTCTCCTATAAATGGAGGCAAACAAGGATGTAGTATGAATAATTATTGTGTCCTAGATGTGATGGTAATATTGCTTTAAACATATTTTTGCAGCACAGCGAACTTCTGTTTCTGTTGAAGTCACTGCTTTATCTTAACAATAAATAGCTTTGTGGGCTTACAGTTCTTATCACTTGACATTCTGGCAAAAGGAAAATAGAGACAAATCTATCACAAGGTTATACAAAAAAGTAAAAACAATGGACTTACATAAAATCTGCAACTCACCAGACAACATTTTTTATCATAGAACTTTTTTTTCTCTTTCTCTTTTTGGCGCGAGAGAGAGCTAGGATTAAATTAAATCTCAGATTCCATCTATGGGTTTGCTGCTTTCCTCAGTTAAGACTTCCACTGTAGGTATGAAGACTTCAACATGAGCTCTGGGTAGTGTGATGGCCAATTTTTGCGTACATACTGTATAGTACAAACAGATAATTCAACTGATCAATAATACAATACTAAAGATATTTTTAATAATCTAGAAAATATTTGTGATTTGTTTTTCCTCTGCTGGGTGGTGGATGTGATGGATGCAGCATGGCTACTCTCAAAACATCCACACAAATCCTTGTGAGAACCAATTTGCAGAACCTTGCATCGGAAATTGGTTTTACAATATTATTATACTCTGTGCTCATCATAATGACACACAGATTATAAACTACAACCATAAATCAAAAGCATGCAAACATACATGCATGGCTGGAACTGCATGTAACAGTACCAAAAGACACATTTGAGTATCTTCTCTCTCACACACACAACACCACACAAACAACAAGTGCGATATAAGGTGTGGTTCACTTAGTTAATTTCTCCCTGGTAGTGGTCCTGTGTGGCTCATGTGTGGAGAAAGCGAGAAATTGGCTGTTTAGCTCGGACAAAAAAAAGGCATGAGATGAAAGGGTGCTCGGGTGTTTTTTCTACTCCAGAGATCAAGCCGATGAGTTGTAGAACCCTGCAGCACTGCACACATGATGAAAGAAACAGTGCTGTCCTTCCACATGTACTGTACATGAACAAGTATAAAGCATTCGATGAACATATAGATTTAACTTCACGTTACATTTTTCATGAACATATACAAGAAAGACAACAGGACAAAAAAAAGTAGGTGAAAGACTTGATCAGTATAGTGCAGTAGAAATGGAAACCCTCAGGGACAACGACGACTTAAAGGAAGGGATAAGCAGGGATAGAGAAGAGCAGGGCGTAAATGAAATGACAGAGTCAGTCTGAGGAAATAGAATTGGAGGTAAGTAAAAACAGAAAGGTGAAAGGAACCTCTTATTGGCAAAAACTGAGTAAGATGGAGGCTGAGGGGTGTAGTAGCATGGGGGCCACTGCGCTGCATAGCAAGAGACGTCGCTCATGCCGCCACAGATAGACAGGACGAGAGAGAGACAAAGACAGAAAGAAAGAGATAGAAAGTGTTAAGCCTTGCGCTGCAGACATGCGTTACAAATCCCCAGGGACCCAGTGGCAGATCAGTACAGGATCAATCTGCTGCACCTCAGCAGGGACGCGGCGCACTTCTTCCATTCCCACACACTGCTCATGAGTGTGTGTCACCCTACTGTACGTGTGTGAATGCCTGTTTATGTGTGTGACCGTGGAGCTTGAACAGAAATGACTGAGGACCGGGAGGTTCTGTTGCAGGGAGAAAGGGAGAGAATGAAGCAGGTGGGGGAAAGCATTAAACAGATAGATAGCAGTGCAGGGAGCGGATATTTATCAACTGACCAATAAATACCATACATAATCTACAATGTCAAGATAAAAGCATTGTTGAGAATCATTTGGTAGAGGGAATGTTTTTCTAATCAAATTGAAATTGCATTCCTGTATTTGATATCCATGAAGATGCTTAAGAAAAAAACGACATCACCTCTGGCATCTAACTGTGAGCTATAATGAATAATAAAAAAACAAAAACAATGCGAGTGATAGAAATCCCACACGGGCGATAAAGGATCAGTTTATCCACGCCTCTCTTCCATCATAGCCATTGGAGAGGAAAGCATAACACTGACCTCAGATCAGTGTTTGGGGAGACCAACTGATCCAACTGCCTGTAACTCGATCTTATTAGAGCGTTAAGTCATTACCGCATGTACACACAGAGGCCTCACAATGCAATTAGCCATTAGCCCATCACACTGACAAAGCATGGCTAATTAGCAGATCGCAGGCACACAGGGAGCAGAACAAAACATATTTAATATCCCCATCAACACTCTCACAGAATATCGTGTGTCAGGTGATGTTTAGAGGTTTCTCATGCTTGGCTGAGCAGGCTTTCAGAGAAACAAGTTGTATTTATACATTGAAAACGTTAATTGTAAAAGTAGCTATAGGAAGAAGGTAAGAGATTTTCGATAAAGTAAAGGTATAACTTTAAAAAAATTCAGATTTCCATATCCCTCTCTGTGTTTTCAATGCTATTTGACTTGACCTTTTTCTGAAATAGTAAAGATTATTCAAACAAACAAACAAACAAAAAGTAAAAAAAAAAAAAACTAAAACTAAAATGTAAATATCTTTAACACAGGTCTATTGATGACTTCCCAAGAAGCTACATCAAGATCAAGTCTGTTTAAAATTCGGTTCTGAACGGATGTGTTTGTTGTAGTAGCTACAGAGCTGCTGGTCAGGCAGCTCCAACTTGGCTGCTGTTGGCGGAGGTGGAGAGTTGAGGCAGAGTGTTAGGTGTGTGTCTCTCTTTGAGAGTGAATGAAGTGGATTATGTTAGGTCAGCTCCGGCCAGATCAAAGTAAAAGTTTGACAAGAACTGAGAAACCTCTGAGAAATATATTCAAGCAAGCATGCACACACACAAACTTTGGCAGAGGACTGCCTGTCAGATTGCCAAAGGAACTACTCTTTGAGCTCTCCATAAATTTACTTTGAAGGAGATCTGACAGGGTAATAGCTTGTATGGAAAATAGTGTCATACAAGGAAACACACACACACACACAAAAACACTAGAGTTGTTCCAATACCAATTCTAGTATCCATAACTCATTAGTCTGAAAAAAATCTACTGGATTAAATGATTGTATGTCGATGACGAACACTGACAGTGTGGTCCTAGCAGAGACAGTAATGTTGGTCAAAAGTAGGAAAATGTCAGCAAATCATTTTTTACCAATATAAATGTATATTTTTTCAATGAAAATGTTATTGGGGGGATAATCTGTATCACCCCATACTCAAATCTCTTTTGGAATAGACATTGGAACATCTCTCAAAACACACAAACACAGAACAAACACATCTAAAAGTCGTTTTTTTTTATAATCCAAATTGTGACAAAAAAGTTGCAAGGAAACACATCACCACTGACATTAATTAAAGAGAATCAGATTTTATGAAGCAATTCTCAGGAAGTAAGTGCAGCACTGACCCTCCAGCCCCAACCCAGACAGACAATGTCAAATAAACTAACACATTTAAATTAGGGCATTGACCAGACCAGTCTGGGCTAGGAGCAACATCACCCTACTAGCAACCCGCCTTAGCAACCTGTAAGTAGGCCTTTAGAGTTGGCGAGGTTACTACAGCAGAGCTGGGCCTTGTACAAAGCTGAAAACACACACTGGTTTCTGTGGGTAAATGTGCCCTGTCACTGTGGTGGGATACGTTTTCATGGTGCAACATGCAGACCCTAGACCTGGCGAGAGCAACGTGTGGTGCTCCTGTGTTTCCTTGATATAGTTCATGGCCGAAACAGCCTATGAAGACCCTGTTTGAATTCTGGAGCACCACACGCATTGCTTACCAGGGAATCGGCCGACAGAAAGAGGGGATGAACTGGAGGCTGTAAAAGGGTATCAGGCACTAGACCAGCCTGGAGCACGCTGCACTAGGCTGGACTGGACTGTTCAATTCATACTGTTCATTTATATTGGACCAGACGGAAAATGAAATAAATCAAAGCGGATTAGGACAACAAGGTAAATCAAAATAGGAGCATGTCAAGCACAATAAAGCAAACTGAATGTGGCTCCTACAAACAGGTTTTTGATAGATTAGTAGAGTCAAGGCAGTGCAAAGCAGAGTGCAGGAAAATAAAGGGAGATAGACAGAACGCTCAAATGGAGCAGAACCGTGATTGTGATTTAACTAATTTTAAGAAGAAAAAACTGCATTTCACAAAATTAGAGTGGATTTTGTGTGTGTGTGTGTGTGTGTGTGTGTGGTCTGCATTGTGTGCAAATGTTTGCAAAGCCACACGTATGCCTGTGTGGGATGATCAGACTACTTGAAGCAATGCTTTAGATCGCAGCTTAGTGATGGCTAGAGGAAGATGAGGATCATTGGCTGAATGATGTACGCATTGTGTGTTAAATATGCATGCACAGCGAAGTGAGTGTGTATGAGTTTTTCTGAAAAACAGAAGGAGAGAGAAGAAGAGTGAAACAGAATCATGCTGCAGTTTGCACTTTTTTGCATGATCATTGCACATGCAATACTCATACATGACTCGTATCCTCTCAACATAAAAACGTACAAATTCATGACTAGAATGACACAAATATGGACACAGAAACCACCTCTGTGCTGACTGGTTTGAGGCTATCAGGGAGTGATATGAAGCTTTATGCAAAACATGCAGGGCAGCACAAACTAAAAAATGTTTGAGATTATTGAAAGATTATTTGATCACCACCATATCAATTCTTTATCATAGCCACTTCCAATCAAACCAGTCCAGTCTAGAACAGTTCAGCCAGCAGACTTGTCACCACCATGTTGCCCCTAAGCACTCCTCCAAAGTGAGGAGCTTTAAATATTTCACCTCCTGAAGATTAAGGTCAGGGCTGAGCAGAGGGGAGCATAACAGATCTGTGACCACTGCTTTTGGGAAAGTGAAGGACATTGTACTATATTACCCAGCAGGCACCAGGTGGTGGCGGCGCAGAGGACACCATGGCAACGCCATGAAAATGCCATGGCAACACCATAGCAACTGTGGCCTCATTTGCTCGCTGGTGGTGTGGTACAGCCCAGACTTGCTACAGTGGCATGGTCGTCAGATACACACTTCAGTCACATCAGTAATAGTAACATTGTTCATTAATTATTTCATCAATCAATTAATTGATCATCATCATCAACAATCAGTCAAAAGGAGCAAGAACACAGTATCTACTGGTCTCTGTTTTTTGCTAAGTGAGAGACGGACAGAGGAATGAGCGGATTTAAAAAAGGAAGTGATCGAAGGACAAAGCAAAGGTTTAATGGATGGGAACATCAATAAAGAGATGTTATCAACGTATGGTGAAAATTAAAAAGAGGAGAGGTGGAGAATTTTTTAAAAGCTTGTTTATAAAAAGTAAACAATAAAAAGAAAGCAGGAGGAGAAAGCAAAAGAGACATCAGACTAAGTGAGAGAAACATAGTGATGTGAAAAAGCAGAAAGCGAATAAAACGGATGTTAGGTAGTTTGAGAGGAGTGACAGACTGATAGCTATAGTAGATACAGATGAATAGAGAGTTTAGACTTTTACTTGTCTTTTTTGTCACAGGCACTAATGTCTTCACAGTCATATAGGAGGAATCGAAATTCAAAAATGATTTCAGTGTCTAGAATCGCTACAAAGCTAAACATTTAAAACTATTTCATCTAACACTTCCTCCAAATATACCAAACTTAACTAATATATATATATACCTGTATGTATATATATGTATATATTTATTTGTACATATATATTTCTTTATAGATAAATAATAGAATTCAAATGATAATTGAGTACAATAAAATATCTCAGTTAAATCACAGTATAACATGGTACATTCTCAAAAACATAGTATATTTTAATATATTCTTTTTTTCTCAGCATTAAATAAAAATAGATAAACAAAATAAGCCAGAGGGTTTTTAAGAGTCACTTCTGTTCATGCAGTCACAGACTTAAGTATTAGCGCCTCAATTGAAATCAAGAATGCTCAATGACATACCAGGTTTAAGCCCTGTTGATTGGTTGAAAATGATTGTGTTCAACTACACAGAAAGCAGCCAAACTGTTGCCGTGGTTTCCACTGTTGGGGTGCAGAGTAGAGCGAGCATACAACCACACTGTAAGGTGGCTACCCTGGGTCCTAAGCATTTGCTACAATTGAACTACACAACCCTCCCACCACAAATCTTTGAGGTTTCATTCAGCTAAACATGCAATGATTCTGGGGCTTTCCAAAAGATGGGAAAAGGCAAAAGCATTTCTCTTAAAATCACAGATTGTATTAAAAAATAGCCCCAAGCAGACCTAGAAACAAAGCAATCCATGTGCAGATAAAAGTACAGTCTGCCTCAACTGAACGGCAAAGGACTTAAAAGGGGAATTGAGAAGGTCAACTAACTCTTCGATCTGTGACAACATGCACAAACACCGCGCAAGTCCCTCACATAGCAGGTCAACCCCCCCACCCCCTCCTTCTAGCCATCATCAACAGCATCCAAAAAGCTACAAAGTCTAAAAGTAAGTGTTCTTTTGCTACATCATGTCAAAGCTACATTCAACTACAAAAGAAGAAGAGCTGGGCTGTGGCTGGTCTTAGTGTGAGAAATGAGGTGTATATGTTGACCTAATGAAAATGGAGGGCGTATGCATTGCAATGTTGGCAACACTGGCACAGTTTACACAGTAAATGGCTTTTGGCACAGCTCACGGGAGGTACAATGCTACAGTTCACTGCTCTCTCTTGAACACATAGCATTTGGTTTTCATATTGGTCAGCCAGAGCCAGGTGCTGTGGACTTTCACTGGTTCATTTTAATCACATCTGACCAAATTAAATGGCTACGCCAGCAAAATCATTGAAGATGTGATACATCTGTCTCTGACTGAAACATATGACCTCATTTTAAACTGAAGGAAAAAACAATTACAATGCAAGCAGCAAACGAATGTGCCATTGCATCTCTGTCACATAGAAGGTGGGAATATTGCTCAAAGTCAAACAGTCATCAAATAATCTTGATAACATGAGTTATTACTGACTGCATTTACTGAAGTCTCAGCTACTGTATATGCATCTAAAAATTGGAACTCAAAGCATTCAAGTCTGTCATATCTTCCAGAAGGAAATAGTTCATGTAAAAAATCATTTTCTCAACACAAGTGTCTGTGGTACTCGCACTTTATGTGTTTTTTGTAATCAATAGGAGCAACATGATTTAACACATAATCACATTTTTTTCACCTAAAATATATTTCCTGTAGATTTGTGCAGCTACACTGTGGCACAAATGTCTGAAAAATACAATATAGAATTGTGCTTTGTACAGTCTAAGACTTATAAATTCAGCCAAGGTACAGTGTAATAGTGAAATATAATAATATCAATGTCCTTAGAGACCTTTTACATTACACTGCACTTTGTTTTAATTCCCTTCATTCCTCTGAATAAATCCTGACTGGCCACTTTCATAAAAATAATAAAGGTTTTAGATGCATGCCTCTTCCTCAGCATCATGTAGCTACAATTATTAAACTAACCAGAAGCCTCTTGCACCGGTGTCTCCAAAAGCTTATTTGAATATTATGCAGCCATCTAGTGCCAATTACAGATATTGCACCAATCATCCCCTTCATTCACTTACATGATGGTGATTTATGCGATGTTCACATGTGGGAAGAGATGAAGGGGCTTTGTCTATGAAAATACATTTCTTGACTCTTGCTCAGAAGCTCTTGAGTGGAAAATTTGCACTGCGATTTAATCATTCCCACTTCCAATACTAGCCACATCCAGCCTCCTCCTGATTAAAACACTAACACAGTGAGAGAAATATATTGATAGCATAAAAAAGAGGTTATGAGGAGAAACGTCTGAGTAAGAAAGAAAAGAAAAGACAGACATAAAAAAAAACTGCTACATGTTTTTTTTGTTCTTATTGTTATTTCTCTTTTAAAGTTCAGTTTGTTTTTCAAATACTTAAACTGTGTTCGAGCTCTGGTTGGACCAGAGGTGACATGACAAGCTCCAACAAGGAGGAGAAAAAGTGTTTCCTGTTCAGTCTGATTGGTTAAAAGGGTTTCTAGTAAAACATGACATCACATAGATGGTCCTGGGGTAGAGCTAGATGGGTCTGATGTTGTCATGAGGTCACTCTGGGCAAATAACCAGCACTGTCCTTGCTGCCCAGTGAAAGGTGATCAGGCAGACAGAGTGCATGAGAGCTGACTGCATTGCTTTTCATACCAACTGATTTTACAAAAGGGGAAAAAAGAGGGGCAGTCTCTCCGACACCAAGAATCAGTCCACCAATCTGTTCAAAAACCAGCCAATGTGGACATGGCGCCAGAGTTCGTTGACCAAACACTGGTCCCTTTTTAGGAGAGGATGGATCTCTCCTCTTCCCACCAAGATGTGTTCTCAAAGCCAGAGGGAGGGAGACGTTTCGAGCATAAATCTGTGTGTGTGTGTGTGTGTGTGTGTGTGTGTGTGTGTGTGTGTGTGTGTGTGTGTGTGTGCTCGTGCATGTTTGTGTACAAATATGACATCATTACTCACAGGTTGGAGATTACTCTTATCCTTAGTTGTGACTCGGGGAGGGGAGGAGTACCGAAGATGACATCACAAAGCTCAATTCTGAGCGGAGTAGAAGTTCAGGAGCTGCTGTCCCCAGTGATGCAGCCTCGCCTTCACTCTCGTCATCATGGGAACCATCTAAACGAATGTAGCTCACCCTTGTGTGACGTCTTACTGTTGCCCTTACTAGAACACGTACAATTGAGCGGGTGGCATTAGCGTTGCTCTCACACAGAGCAGTGTTAGCATTAGAAATGCTGTCCATGTGAGTTCCCGCAGTGATGGTGGCTAATTGATTACCTATGGACACCAAGGCAGCCAATTCTCTGCTGTCATCCCTGCGTTCTGCTGCAATGGTACCACGGTTATCAGTAGCAGTGGTGCTCGCTCCCACGTCTCCCTCTCTCCTCTCCCCCTGTCATACCTCGCTCTCCAGGCTGGAGAAGTGGGCTGACCCTCGGCGTGAGCACAGGCTCTTGGCTTTGAGTGGCAGGTGGGGGGAGTAGAACCTTCGTGGCTGTGGCACAGAGCGCAGTCTTTGATACTGGAGTTTGGCACTGGCTGAAGCCTGAGCCTGGCCCTGGCCTGACATCCCCACCCCTGCTGGTGGTGAAACAGAGGATGAGGAGGGGGGAGGCGGGATGGGCATTGGGAGGGAGGTGGGAGACATGGACGGTTGCTGGGGCGGCGACGGTGAGGGTTGTGGTGGATGGTCTGTGGGCTGTGTGCTGAGGCTGAGGTTAGATTGGCTGCCTGATTTGGCCTGACTGGGATCGGGTTTGGGGGGCAGGGGCTTTGGACGAGAGCCCCCGCTGAAGCTGTGGCAGTGGGGGAGAAGCTCTTCCTGGCTGTGGGAAAGCACTGCAGCTCCTCTCTTGGAGTGGGAGGTGTGCGAGCGCCTGTGGGGGTGTGGGTAAGGATGTGGTTGGGGATAAAGGCTACAGGAACACATTGTGGCCCGACCTGCTTCTTCTCCTCTGTCCCTTGCACGCCCCTTGCTCTTCCCTCCACCACTCTTCCACTTTTTATCTCCCTTTACAGGGATCTTGTCCATGGACCAGTATCTTCTTGGAGGAGGGAAGGCCGCAGGAGGTGGTGGCCACTGTGAGCCGAGTCCTCCACTCCCTCCCCCTGATCCCCAACCTACTCCTGGCCCTGAACCCCAAAAATCAGCACCAATCCATCCCTCTGCTCGAGTGCCCAGTAAGGAATCATCCCGGCTGTTAATACTACCCCCTTTCTCTCTAGAGGGGTAGGTTCCAAAGAACCAGCCTCCTCCTCCTATGCCTCCTATTCCAGTGCTGCTACCCCCTGCACCTCCTTCCCAGTATCTTTCGAAACGACCAAACTCCCCTGATGAGCCCTCATCTGAATAGCTTTCCTCTGCCCTGGACCTGTCCCTCTCTGACTCAGAAACTGCCCCTCTACCTGCTCTCCTCCCCCTCTCCTCCACCCGCTCTCTCACTCTCTCCCTTTCTTCTTCTTCTTCTTCCTCATCATCATCATCGTCCTCATCATCCTCAGAGTCCCACTCCTGGAAGGACGGCCCTTCTCTTGTCTGTGCTTTCTCTTTTTCATAATGCATTAACAAAGGACGCCGCTCCCCAAGTCTACTACTGTTGTCTCTGTCCATCCCTCCACTTCTTCTCCTCTTGGAGGATGGAAGAAGAGGATGAAGGGATGTTGGAGGGGTATTAGAATCACCTCCTCTTCCATTAACCCAAAATTTGACTGATGCCGGGAGTTTGTTGAGGTTAGGGTAGCGCTTACTAGGGGTATGATGTCTTGAATGAGGGCGTGAGGACTTAGGGCGCCTCTCTCTACTTCTGCTGCTGTCCTCCTGTTCCCTGTCATTTCCATCATCTCCACCCTCTCTCCTTCCTCTCTCCCTCTCTCCTTCCCATGAATCCCGACCCTTCTCTGCAAATGAGCTCCGATACTGAGCAGAAAATGAAGAGTAGTCTTGTATTCCCCCTTCCCTCTCTCCCTCTGCCTCTCCTTCCCTCTCTGGCTCTACATCTCCCTCCTCTGGCTCAGAACGTCTTCCCCCAGTCGATTTCTTTCTTTTCTTTGTCTTAAGTGCCTTCTTCTTCTTTTTTTTCACCTTTCGCCGTTTCCTTTCTCTCTCTCGCTCTCTTTCCCTTTCTTCCCTTTCTTCCCTCTTTTTCCTCTTTTTGCTCTTTTTCTTTTTCTTCTTCTCTTTCTCCTTCTCTTTTCTCCTCTTCTTTTCCCTCTTTTGCCTCTCACTTTCTCCACCTGCTCCACTCCTCTCTCTCTCGCTCCAGCTTGCCCACCACTCTTGGAGCTGAGACAGTTGGCTTCCCCCTCTGTCCCTCTCTCTTTCTCTGTCACCCCAGGATGTGCGCGGTTTCCTTGGGGGTATGGGTGGTGGTAGGCGCCCGTGGCTGAGGGAACGAGGCCGGATGATTGAGCGTTCCCTCTCTCTCCCCCTGCCAAGGAGAAGGCTTGACTCCTCTGTCAGCTCCTCATCGTCATCATCATCTTCTCCATCTATCCCTCCAGTCCTGTCTCTTGTGCTCCTGGAGGAGCTGTAAGAGAAGGTAGGAGAGGTGGAGCGAGAAGATGAGGCCGATGACGACGTGGATGTAGATGAGGTGGTTGACGAAGAGGATGATGACGTATAGTGCAAGGATGCTGAGGGAGAAGGAGGCGTGTAAGAGGGGCTGAGGGGTACTGGCACAGGAAGTGAGAGCGGGGGAGAGAGGGGGCGTGCCCTCCTCCCTCCTCCCTCTCTCACTCCCTCTCGTGCTCCTCCCCTCCGCCCCAGGGGCAGAATGTTCTCGTACAGTGGCCCTCCAGGCTCTTTGGGCTTCTTGGGCCTGCGCTTCCTCCAGAAGGATGAGGGGAGAGGGGGAGAGGGGTGTGGCAGCGGGGGTGTAGGAGGCAGAGGGGCCTGACTCTTAAGAGGCAGTCTGGGAGTGCCCAGAGGTTTAACGGCCCCTTTCCCCTGACTTCCGCTGCCACCTCCCACCACCCTCTTCCCCACCCCGTGGTCCATGCCCTTTTCAGAGTAGAAGGCCACACTGGCTGGAGGAGGTTGGGGATGGCCCCTGGGCATAGTCTTGGGGGTCTGGGACCCTGCCTGCTGCTCAATGCAGGGCCCCAGTCCCTCAGGGTCAATGGGACCATAGTATCTTTTATAACCATCAAGTCCCCCACCCCCTCCAGCAGTTGAAGCCCAGTTTGGAGGGACTTTCTGAGCAAAGGGTCCCATGTCAGTGATGGCCCCTCTTACAGCCATTGGGTTGGTGGCTGTAGCAGATTTGGGCAGCCTCCAACGATCCACCACAGCCAGTCTGCGATCTGGTCTGGGCAGGAAGGTGGAGCAAGGGAGGGGTGCACCAGAAATGGGGTTGTTGGACGGACCCAGTGCTGTCCCAGAATGCACCACGGTGGGAGGAGAGCCTGGTAGAGGTGTTTTGTATACGGGCTGCGGTTGCTGCTGTTGTGGTGGTTGCTGCTGTTGCGCCATGGCAATGGCTGGGTTGGTCATGGATGTTGAGACAACATGTGGCTGTGACGGGACTGTCACCATTGCAGTGTGGTGATGGGTAGGCAAAGATTTAGCTCCACCTGGTGCTGTTTCATCCTCAAAGCTGCAGCAGCTATACATACCCTGAAGAAAGAAAACAAACAGAAAATCCGATTCACAATTTATTTTTGAAGAAACACGCAATGCAACAAAATAAACATTATTTCCTGACATGAAAAATAAGATTTTGTTGATTTTTTTAAATGCAGGTATACATTGGCAGAAGAAGAAAAAACATATGTCTACAGTCAGTAGACTTTAAATCTCATAATAGAAATTGTACTTTACAGAAGACTTTGTATTTCTGTATGTGCTTGAGAGGCTGAGAGGAAGTAAAATGAGACTGGAGTGGATAAAATGAAAATAAAACAGCAATCCAATAAGTTCCAGTTTTCAAAAGAAATGCAAGATTGCTATTTTTCAGATAAACATCCCTTCCTATTTATAGTACAGCTGTGCATTGTTTGGTTAGCAAAATTGTATACATAAATGCATAAATTACAACCACAGGACTGAAAAAAGATAAATGATTATCAGTGAAGCTACAGTAATCATGTGCATATGGTGGAGTCTGCTTCTGTCAAGGTCACTGTCAAAGGAACAGGATATCCAGGGTGTGAGCGGAATTGAATTTCAATTAATCTCCCGAATTGACTGAGTGGAATTGAATTGACCCTGGACCTCACACTTTCTAACACTTACTATCTGTAACAGATAAGGGCACACAGACAGGAACACACATGCCTACACATGTGTGTGTCTACAAAGGAAGTGTTCATCTGATTTTGGATCCAATTACGTAGTCCTGTTGATGGGTCACATAATTTAACATACTAAATGTGGCTATGCAATGTTTTAGCACTAAGATACTTTAGAAAGGCTGTCAATTAGCAAAACATATGTTCAGGTAGGACACAAAATACTACACACACAGAGACACAAACACTTACCCTGCTGATTGCCAGGAGAAAGTCCAATTTGCCAGAACTGGTGGCCATGCAGTGTCGAAGCTTCCAGTAGACCAAGTGTTCCCAGGCAAACACAAGCAAACTGAGGCCCATAGCCACCAGCAGCATATAGAAAACACCAGCCATGTTGTCAATATCCAGTTTACTGCTCATCACCTCAATTTTGTCATTATGGCAGATACCCGACAGCCAGAGGCGCTCCAGCATCTCAATCTCATCTGGAGAGGGGTTGGATTGGGAGAGGGAATGAGGAAGATTGAGGAAGCGGTGAGGAAAAAGGGAAATGGACAAAGTTAAAAGGGAGAAAAGTAGAGAGGAAAGTTGACATTGCCGGCAAGACAAGACATACAGGGTTAAGAGATGTGAGAAGTGATCATGTTTGGTTAAAACCAAATAAAGACACTGAAGCTTGGGGTTATGTCATGGTTGTACTCTGATATAGAGAGATAGAAGGATTGACCTGGATGGATAGATAGATAGATAGATAGATAGATAGATGGATGGATGGATGGATGGATGGATAGATAGATAGATAGAAATATAGATAGATAGGTAGATAGATAGATAGATAGATAGATAGATAGATGATAGATAGATAGATAGATAGATAGATAGATAGATAGATAGATAGATGGATGGATGGATGGATAGATAGATAGATAGAAATATAGATAGATAGGTAGATAGATAGATAGATAGATAGATAGATAGATAGAAATATAGATAGATAGATAGATAGATAGATAGATAGATAGATCGATCGATAGATAGAAATATAGATAGATAGATAGATAGATAGATAGATAGATAGATAGATCGATCGATCGATAGATGGATGGATGGATAGATAGATAGATAGATAGATAGATAGATAGATAGATAGAAATATAGATAGATAGATAGATAGATAGATAGATAGATAGATAGATAGAAATATAGATAGATAGATAGATAGATAGATAGATAGATAGATAGATAGATAGATAGAAATATAGATAGATAGATAGATAGATAGATAGATAGATAGATGATAGATAGATAGATAGATAGATGATAGATAGATAGATAGATAGATAGATAGATAGATAGGTAGATAGATAGATAGAGACACGTGACACACAAGCTAATAATAAGCACTAAAGCACAGGTCTACATTATTGGTTGCTGCTTTCCCATTATCTAGGTGACGCCTCAAGGTCAGGGGCCAGAATACAAAAAGCAGCGCTGTGTCCAAAGTAGCAAAAAGGAAGGGGACTGAGACAAAGAGAGAGAGTCTAAAACAATGAAGTAGAACTGAGAAGTAAAATGGCACTGACAACCTAATCTCAACATTGTAACCTAGAGTAAATGGGGAGAGGAGGAGAAAGGGATACCATGTGCCACAGTGAGATGGTGGGATAGGTTGAGCAAGCGTTGAAGAAAGGGAGAGAGGTAATGTGAAAGTTGGTAAGAATATTTTACAAAGACAGAGAGGGAGCAGCATTCTCTCCCTGTCCACAAGCCCGTCTGGGGACATGAGAAGACACAGAGACATAGGGAGTTAGATGAAGCTGCAACCAGGGAAGCAGAGATGGAGGGCGAGAGGCTGAGATTGTGTCATTATGACAAACAGTGGGAACACTCTTCATCGCGAAGAGAATGAAAGGAGAGAAAATGTGAAGAGAGAGAAGTGATAGGATGGAAAAGAGCAGAGGCAGAAGATCCTAATCATTTAATTGTGCTGGAGAGTTAGTCGGAATCTCCATCAAGGTGGTAAGCTCTGAGGGATCCAAGATTCCCATCTGTTAACCTACCAGCAACCAGGCAAGACCACTTCACAAACTACTCTGTCTTATTTCTTAGAATCTCACTGGCCTAATGAATCCAGGCTGCCCTGCTAAACCTGAGATTGGCTGTGAGGTTCGCTGGTGTAACCATAGTGATGGACAGCCAGAAGATGCAGTGTATGATTCATGATGGAATTAAAGAGGAGTACTCTCCAACGCAACATGTATTGAAAAAGCTTTCTGTTACAATAGCAGCAACAGCAGGATGTGCAACACTGCTATAATAACCTGCACACTGCAGGCTCCAATGGCTAAAGCATGGTTTAAAAACTGAAAAGTCACACATTCACTCGCAACACTGAACTGCTCCGCAAACTCAAGCTCTAGCTTTTAATTTGTGGCGTCAATAGCTGTGCTTGCATAGCTTAGATGAGGCAGACTCAGTCATCTGTGTGATCCAGCTAATGTGTCTACTGTAGAACATCATTAGCCAATCAGCTGTGGCCTACAGCTAAAGCAACAGATGAACACACTGCTGCAGCCCACTGGCAGACTCCTGTATCAACTCCTGGTTCCAGTTTCACTCATACACTCATACATTCAGAGACGTAGGTCTTCTTCATTCAATCCAGATTATTGCCCCATTGAAGACTGTTGCCGTGATTGCCATTCAATCGCAGCTGTATATCCAAACAGAAGCCTGATGTGAAACAGCAAGTGTCTTCTTGAGAGGTAAAGATAAATAGGTAGAATCATGTCTGATCTCCACTTCACAAGCCCCAGTTGAATCCCTTCTCTAAGCTGTAAGTCTTATCTCCTGGCTTCCCTGCCATTTGACTTCCAGTGATTCATCCTGTGCTCCCTCTTTTACCACCTGACTCTTTCTCATGGTCCCTGTTTCTTCCCTCTCATAGTCCTGTGTGATGGCAGTTGTCTCTACCTCTCAGTCACAGCCAGCTCAAGCCTGCCAAATCTGACAGGTGTGTCAAATCCACACTCCACCTCTGTCATTCCTGGCAGGTCAGGTCAGGTATAGCTGGCACACTGCAAACACAGAGCTGGCGTACACAACAAAGACATAATTCAATAAATGAAACTGTAGTCGTGTGTCTTCATTTGTGCATATGCTAATGTGCAAGTCACTTTGTGCATGCTCTGGATTTTGCCAATGGGCCAGATGTGGGCGAGAAGCCAGACATGTTCAGAGACGCTGAGCTCCACAGTTGTTGTTGAGCAGTAAACCATGACCCGTACAATCCTCTCCTTTTATCACAACATGACAAACCTCTCGGCATGCAAGATTTCAAAAAAAAAAAAAACAGCCTGCCAGCCAAGAGCTGCAAACCCCGCTTCTCACATTTTTTCTAATATCTGCTCACTGAATAATATATTCTTGGAATCAAAATCCCAATACTATGCAGAAAAAATAGTAGAGGATCTGATAAAAGGGAAAAGGGAAATCTTGCTACTCAGCAGTTCTGCCTTTATCAAGAAACAGGATGTAGTGAGATCTATGGCTCGCCTTTTAAAGCTGTGGTATGAATCAGCAGAGACTGCAACAAGAAGAACAATACACTCGCAGGGTTGACAAAGCAATGCCGGACATTTCTAGTGTCCCTCTATCCTCTTATACGGCTCGATATTACTCAACACTGCCAGTTACAACAGTGATGTAACACCGTGACACGGTAAGCAAAGCTAAAGGTGTGATGCCAGGTCCTTGAGCCGCAGGGCGATTTTTGAGATACAGCCTTTGAGGGCATGCTGAGCCTCCTCCCTCCCTCGCTCCCGCCACATCCAAACAAACTAATCCTCTTCCTAAGTAATCCACTCAAATAATGCCTGCATACAACTACAACCCTCCGCATTCAAAACCACCCTTTAACTAGATTCATCCTGCATACACAGCTGAGGTTTTAGGGTTTTTGCAACACAGAACAGAAGCAAGGACAGGGGCATACACCAGGAATTAAAGGAAACAACAGGCACAGCATGTTAAGGCTGTCTGGGCTCTCTTGTTGTTATTACACAAACACATACACACCCTTTCCCAGGTCCAACAATTCAGCTCCAGACACCAGCCTTATTTAAGAGATCTTGGCACCAAATTGGCATTATCAGTGTGTAAGCAGCTAAAGTGTCTGCACGCCAGAAGCAGCTAAAGGGCTTTGTCCGCCACGCCATAAGCAAAGCTTATTTAAAACAGGAGGAAAAGCCAAACAAGCAGCATCCGGTTGAGACAATAATATGTGTGTGGCGGACTGTGTAAAATGACAATCAAGAATTAGTGTACTGACAACTAGTGCTAAAAACAGATTTTCTCCAGAACCGTCTCCCCGTTGATTAATCCTAAACACAATTGTTTGAGGACAAAAAATAGCACATTTATAACGTTCACAAAAATTATTCAATTATCTCATGTGTTTTCAGTATCTCCTTTTTTATTTCAGTGCACCCTTTTCACATCTTATATTCAGAGTATTTTCAGGTGTTTCTCTTCTGTTGTTTTTTTCACACTTCCTCACTCTCTGTGCCAGTCTCAGCTAATCTGCAATGAGTGTAAATCTGTCACAGCACAAGTTGAGATGATCCTTTTTATAACGTTGACTCACAAAACTAAATCCTTTTTTTTTTTTTTTTTTTTTTAACAGCCAGAGCAGGATAGAAGGAAAGAGAGTGAAAGGATAGATTGTGAATACTGAGAACGGGGGGGGGGGGGGGCATGTGCACATTGATCAACAGAATCATATCTGCAATGCTTGAGACAAACAGATGATATTCATCTTGACACCAGCGCCCTCCTACACACCATTATTCTCTCTGTCACAATCAAACCAACTTACGGCCATCCCTCTGTTCACCTTAAATCCCCCCATCCACTGCTCAAGATCCTCTTATTCATCTACCCTGTGTCCTCCATTCACCCCTCAGCGTTGTGCCTCTCTGTCGCTTTCTTCTCCTGCCATATTACCCATAACCTTCTCTTTGCCCCTCCATTGTCCTAATTATTTTCCCTTCTCACAACCCCTTCCCACAGTACTCACCATCTCCCACCAGCTGCAGCAGGGCCAGGTCAAGAGGACGTTTCCAACGTGAGTTTTTGTGCAGGGCGATACCGTAGCCTGTGGTGGCAAAAACCTTCCCCGAGCCTATGGTCATCACCTTGGAAAAAGGACAATGTGCAGATGTAAAAAAAAAAAAGAAAAAAAGAAAAAAAAAAGCTGATCGAGATGCAAACATATATTGATCTCAGTGTGTAAGCACAAGTGCCTGTGTGAGTAAGTCCTTACCTTACAACCTTCGTCCTTCCTGGCCATATAGTTCAATACTGCAGCATCATAAATAAAAGCATCCAGTTTCCTGTAAAGGGATCAAGAGAGAGTTCATTCATCATTTAATAGGAGAGAGGGAGCAGAGGGATGGAGAGACAGGGAAGGAGGTATGAAGGTGGTTCTCTGTGATGTACCTGGGAAAAGAATTGGGGTGCAGAAATATATAGCTGACAGGCACAGAGAATGATAGAAAGGGCATGAAAAGTTAAATCATAACAAGAGAAGGGAGGAAGGGTGGAATAGTAAAGCAGGCTTTGCGGAAAGAGTGAAGACACAAGGAGAATAAAATAAGGCAGATATCAGGGAAAGATGTGTGAGTAAGAGGGAGCGGGAAGGTGGTGGTGGAAGCGGAGGAGTGGGGGGGGTGGGGAATTTATACTGTGTAGAGAGTGCAGTGACAGGGATATGGGGGGGGGGGCAGATTTACACACTTCAGGGGGAAAAGACATGGGATAGAGCCAGAGAGTGATGAGGATTATAAAGTTTAAATACAGACACACCGAGGAGACACACTGAGAGGAGGAAAGAATGGACCAAGAAAGGGGAGGACAAAAGAAATGGTATGATAAGAGGGCAGATGAGGACTGACAGAGAGAATAAGATAAGCACTAAAAAAGAAAAAAAAAAGACAGCAGGAGAAAAGAAAAAGTTTCTAATTTTTGTGCATGCTAACACTGAGTAATAATTGTGGTGTCGAGGCACAGGGGAGGGATACATCATGACAGAAGCTTAGGATGAAGTAAACTGGGATTATCCAACACATGACGGGTGATAGAGATTCCACTACAAAACTGAAGAGGGAAATGCTGCTTGCAGTGAGTGGGTGGGGTGGGGGGGGGAATAGCAGTGAAGGTGCAGAGCGAGAGTAAAGGTGGGGAGAATCAGTGCAGGAAAAGCAGAAAGTGTGACAGAAGATGTGAAATGTTATTCAGAGTTGAAAAGAATGCCGGTGTGTGTGACGGCCTGCTAGTGACAGAGCGAGAACACAAAGAAAAAAAATCGTAAATATGTCTCCACCAAAACCAAATAATACATTAACCCTGCATATATACCATACCCTGACATATTTTTTTGTTAGATGCATTGATGAAAAAGCAGTGAATTGGTTTCGGTATCGCCACTCTTGATTGTATTTCCTTTTACATAAGGACAGTTTTTAAGCAAACCTAATGTAGGGAGAAAATCCTTCTCTTGCATAAACAGAAGGAAATTTAAACATCTACAGCGCTATGAGAAGCTGGCAACTTTATCGTCTTTAAGCAGATTGTGTGATACAATCCCTCCCACACATTTATAGAATGACTTTGTGGCGAGATTGCACTGCAAACCAATGTCAAATCAGATTATATTATGGCCTGTGGTCGGAGTTTTTAGTTTCATCATATTTCATCAGAAGACAACACAGAAAAAATCTCCACCATTTTAATGGCACTGCATGTTTTTGAACTTCATGGGTGTGGATGGATACTTTGATTTAAAAGATTTCTGAATCTATTCTCATGTAAAAAAAATCTTATTTAAATTGTTAACTCTGATCATGACAAGCTTATCCTTTTTTGTTTCGTAGGGACACACTTATCAAGAAACATAATCTGAAGAGTCCTGATTTGTCGAGGTAGTTAAAAGGCAATGAATTCATTTAACACATTTTATAAGCAGATTGTTCTGTCTGTCTGTGTATAAAACAATAAACTAAGACCAAGTACCAACATATTCTTCATGCCAGGGCATTTCTGTTTGCTAAATTGAGTCTTGTCAAATGTTTTTTTAACTGATAAATCTGTTCTTCATAATTTGTCACGTGAGCATTTTGATTATGTTATTCAGTGTCTTGCTAGCATAAAAACAAAGTCATGCAGAGCATAATATTGTTTTATATTGCCAGAGGAAAGTTTAAGTGACTTTAACAACTTCCTTAATTTATCAAACAATAATTTGCAAGCCTGCCTTAATGGAAAATCAGCCACTGGAAAATAAAAAGACATGAAGAAAGACAAAGATGAATGTAAAAGTCAGGGAATGAATACACACTTGCTCTATAGCACACATACCCGGTCTTGAGGTTCAGTATTGCATCTTCCACCCCTCTCTGGTTGTATTTGCCCATGTACTGGTGCATATCTGGATAGTTGGAGCGGATGTTTTTTTCGGTGCTCCCGTTGGGCACTGTGCCAAACTTCAGAGGTGGGTACTGCTCCTCTGGATGTTGAAACTAGCGGAGCAATGGTTTGCGAGAGAGGGAGACAGAAGGGGGCATGAGACACACCAGGCTGTGCACCGAGCTGTCTGACCTATTTCTGTCCACATTTCAGACTAACTTAAAACACTGTGTGCACAGTCAAATCTTTAAAAGAGTACAGTCTGTGGACTTAACTGCCTTATTCAAGTATTTGAGAACTGTGGTAATGGAGCGACGCTAAATGAGATTTTATTAATTTCTAACTTCCTGTGCTTGAATCAATTTAAACATTCAAATGCACAGGATTTGGCTCACCCTAAGACTTTAATTCCCCTCCTGCTTTCCCCACTTAATCAGTATTCAAGCAGTGAGGTACCTTTTTGTCCGAGAGGCCTGACACTGTGTCAATGTACTCCTCCTGGATCATGAAGGCAGCCAGGTTAGCAGTGTAAGAGGCAAGAAAGATGACAGCAAAGAAGGCCCAGATCAGCACCATGATCTTGCTGGTGGTTCCTCTGGGGTTCTCCACTGGCACTGAGTTGTTGAAGACAATGGCCCACAAAAGCCATACAGACTTCCCTATCGTAAAAGTAGACCCTCCAGACTCTGGCCAAAACATGACAAAGGGAAAAGAGAGAGAGAACAAGAAGAAGGGTTTTCATATCAACATTGTCTGAGTGCAGATGAAGCAGCAGGTTCAAATGAAACTTCACTGGCTGATCTGTAAAATGGTTTTGCGACATATGAATATACCTAGCAGGCTTTTTGACACCAAAGCTCATAACTGACTATACGTTTCCAGGCTGACAGCTCTCAACTCAGCTGCTACGTGAGCTCACAAATAATTAAACCGCATTGTGCAAATCACCATTCAGAGGGCTCAAACACCTTTATACGACCGGAGTTAAGGAGAATGGAAGGAGAGAGATGAGAGTGAATGAGAGGGATATATGGGAGGATGACAGAGAGGTAAAATTATGTAGAGCGCAGCAATCATGCAGTAAAAGAGGCGAGTCAGACAGGGTATTGGACCAAGGCATCAGGCATACTGAATATCACAGGGGTACAAACTATGCTGTTGAATAATAAATGGCTGCTTCAATATCGAGGATATTTGGATGCAGTTCACACTGGAGGTATAATTTCCTCTTCCCTGAACCCACAGTTAAGGATTCAGGATGGCACATTCATAATGTACAAAAGTAAAAATGAGCACAAGCACGTTTGATGTGAAATATGACCAATCAGACAACAACAAAATAAATTATTACTTAATACATAAAAAAACTCATTTTGATATTTTTTATACATCGTCCAGGAGTGAGTTCAGAGTTGTTCCATTTGACCTGTGCAGCAACAGTGATGGACTGCACGCGCAGCCATCGATCAGGCTGAGAAAGAAAGACAGCTTAGACCCATCACTCACTCTTGCCATTCTGGAGACTGCGATTGTAGCCCACAGGGCTGAAGAACTCAAAAATGAAGACCGTCACAGCAACCACGGTCAGGCACATGACGAACATCATCACCCATACGGCTGGACTGTAGGGCTCTATGTAGAGACAAAAAAGAAGATTTAAACTGACACATAGCATAAGGAACTGTGAAAAAGATTGAAATAGCATTATTAAACAATTATTAATAGCTGTATTATCATTATTATCAATAAAAAAGGGACGTTTCCTGGCTTATAATATTCTATATGAACAGAGATAAGCCTTGTGCGCAGTGGAAAAAGAGACCACAAGAGCACACATATTCTCAAGAAGTCCATAAACTTCTTCCATTTTTTTTTACAATCATCTCAATGCACTCTATAAGCCAATAACAGTGATCTCTCCCTGGAGCCTGAGTCTGCTGACAGAGTAAAACTACGAGTTGGGAAGACACTAGCAGCTTAGAAAAAGTAACAGCTAATCTAGATGTAAGGACCGGCAGCCAAAGACTGGGGCATTTTATGCAAACTCAACACTTTACAATTAGATTAGATTCTGTACATCACCTAGGAGCCCGCGCATAAACAGAGCTTCTTACCTAAGAAAGCGGATGGTGAGACAGTTCCATTGCTACGGGAGACCATTACACTGATCCCCGTCTCCACAAAAGGGACAGAGAAATCCACGACCTCTGATCTCTCCTCATTGATAGTCAGCGAGCCAATGGCCATGTCCGCTCGCTTGTACACCACCTAAAGGGGACGAGAATAAGTAGGAATATCATTATGAGTGATTCCTGTAGTGTTTTAAATGAACAGTGGCATTGTTTTACAGTCTGCATAGATTAGTTTCACAGTGAGAAAGTGCCATTTGTGTCCCCTGACCCTTTGTACGCTCGCACGTGGAAATGTGAGAAAGGCCAAGGATTAAATCTGGTACAAATACTGAACACTTGTCTCTTGTGCATCTCTTTAGCATACCAAATGAGCTAAGGCACGTCTCCTCCCTGCCACAATCTAGAAAACCTGAAAACTGCTGTGTCTGCTGATTGTACAAGTGAAATGTTAATCTACATTAGACATGGCACATCCGCTCTTCAGAGCAAATCAGCAGAAAAATGAAGTGAAGCGGAAAGCAAAGCAACCCTCCCCTCAACTCTGCCAAGTCTCTGGATTACCTGATCAAAGAATGGCAGGCTTGGAACATCTGATCAAAGACAGACATTAGTTTGAGAAAACAAAATTCACTTGGCCTTTTGCATGGGAAAACAGATTCAACAGACACCACTGGCCCGGGCTCAAGTTATACATGATTAAGCAGAAGAGCTCTGTGGAACTGTTTTGGAACCTGTGACAACTGGCATTTGGCAAGTTCCCTCCGGGACAAAGACAGAAACGGCAGGGTGCTTCAATGACACAGCAGCCCCTGTATCGATCTCAGTATATCTGTGGGCATGTGTGCATGCTTGTCGTTTGTGTGTGCCAGCATTTCTGTGTCTCTCTTGCTATGGGATCATGAACTTCAGTGAGTGATGCCAAGAGAATATCAAGGACTAATCACAACTAGGCAGGGGGTGTCTGACAATGTTTATAAGTGTGTCATCTTATTTGAATGAGGATGCGTCTACAGATTCACATATTGCATAAAGGTTCTGGCAAGAGCATGTTGTAATCAACACAAATGGGTAAATAAGACCCTTTAATTAGTTTAACTCCACATTTTCTGCTCACTTTTATAATGTTTATCTGCAGATTTGTGTGTGTATGCATTCGTTTCAGTATGTGGGTAATAAATGACAGCTGCCCGATTGCTGGCAGTGCTTAAGTGGCCATAACTCTCACAGCGATTGATGTGACACATAGCGTTTAACTGGTCACCCAGGACACTGGAGCACAGGCTGGGGAATGCTACATTGCAGCTTGTTGACTGAAAATGCAACACAAGTATGAAGAGGCACAAAATAAAAACACACACAAAAACACATTTCACACATAGGCAAGTGACACGGGACCAATATTGAGTACACATTGCTCACAAATGAAGACAGGCGGAACCACAGTCAACAACACCCCTCCCCACCCCACCCCACCCCACACACAGACTTTAACAATGACTTACCTCTCCGATCATGCCGTTCCAAACCCCGTCAATTTTCTTCCCATGTTTTCCATTGGTCACTAAGTAAAGGTCATAGGTGAAGCCAACAATCTTGGCCAATCTTTTTAGGATGTCAATACAGAAGCCCTTGCAGCACTGCTTCATGGGAGCCACGCCCTCATGAATGGCACTGTGGAAGAATTGAAGAGAAGTTAAAACAATTTTAATAAGTGAAGGAGTCCATAAAAAAAGCAAATATTGCACACTGCCAGGTATCTAAGTGTGCCTTCTTAATATTGAATGGATTTCAAGAGGAAAGAAATGAAAGGTAGCAAAAAAGGAGAAAATGGTCACATGACGGAATATTGTGGCGAAGCCCTTGGTGACAGGTCTGATCGACCAATGTTGGATAGTTGCTGTCATCCCTTCAGAAGCTGATGAACCATAAAGCTCTACTGTGGCCGTATCTGATTCCAGACCCCTGAGTCATTCCGCTGATCCTCTGGAGAGCAGTCTCTTATCGATTATGGTCGGGGAGTGAAAAGACCACAGTTTTGATAGGTGATTGATGTCTCCTCAATTGGATGGCATCATGAGAGCTCATAAACTCCATTCACGACAGAGAGAGAGCTACTCTTTTTTTCCTTTTTCCATTACATTTTAAAAAATTATATCTTCTTGATTATCACTTGTTAAATAATATTTCTGGATGAACCATTATCATTTCAAATTAGGTAATAATGTGTTCTCATTTATGGGTTTTACTTAAATCCAAAATAAATCAAACCTGGCATTAAGGGGTCGTCGGCAGGGCACTGAGTCACGGATGCAGGTCCCAGATGCAGGGTCTGCCAGCTCTACAATGACAAACGGCCTTTCCTCCAGGGTGACAACTCGCAGGTGCTGGGCATCATCAGGTGGTTTAAGGAATGGCCCATAGCGGGACCAGGCTGGGTACCGAAGTCTCAGCACACCGTTCTCCCACCAGCCTACCTGGGGGAACAAACAAAACAAAAATTAGAAAGTAGTACTAAATAATCAACAATATTTCCTCACGCTGAAAACATCTGCATGTTACACTTTCTACTTGGCTGTAATGTTGCTGAGGAACAGATATCTATTTTGCTACAGTGATTTGAGAGTGTGAGAAAATCAGTACCTCAATGAGAAGTTGCATTAACTTTGAGTGTTTGAATTGTGTCATGCTTGACATGTTTGATAGTTCATAATAGGTCTTTTTTTGCATGATGGACTGAGACTATAGGCCTCATGTTCTTGGTTTCACAGCATTTAAATTATTATAGGCTTTACATGTTGTGTTGGTTTTGTTGTTTATGACAACATCAAATAAAGTTGCCAAAAGTTTTCTCATATAAACTAACAATTCAAATTATTAGCCAAAGCATTTCAAATTCATAAAAGACAATTCTATTTTTTTTTTATTTCTTTTTTTTTACAATAGTTAGAATTGAATATAGCCTCCAAAAACAACTGTATTACGGTTATTATTCTCCGTGTCTGTTACACTTTCTCACACAATTTTAAGAGCTCCAGCTCGACTTGTTGACTTAAGAAACGAAATTTAAAATTAAGGTTTTTTTTTTTTTTTATCGTTTTAATGTGCGCATCCACTATGGCGCCGCCCAATTGTTGTGACGCAGAACTCTGTAATTCAGTTGAATAGCATTTCTTATGAACACTACAGGGGGACAAAGTCTATTGTTTCGTACCTTGATCCAATATATTAACCTGGACCTAACCTATGAAGAACCTATAAAATATAGGCTATATCAACACGCACTGGAAATATCGGAAGTGAAAACAATCAGAGATTTCTTCTATTTGTGGTTTTTGGCATATCTGTGAAAACCTTATTAGTAATTAAAGTTATTGAAAAAATGACTGGCCTCACTTAGGCTTGCGTAAGGATTGCTGTGTGACCGAATCACGGCCCAACAGGTGTGCTGAGGTTACAGACGTTTAACTTACGTCTCACTTACATTTCTCATTTTTTAAACTAGCAGCTGTTTGACCAAATTCCCCAAATCACCTGGTTTTTGGTTTTAATTTGCGGTTGTATAGACACCACCACAACACCGAGGCTTCACTCGAGGGCGCTGTTTGGGAAGCTACCCTGAATCATCTCGCTTGTTAGCTATTGATGGTGAGTTAAAAACAAAACAAAAACATTGGTATTGGTATTACCTGGCTTTTACACTGTGGTTGTCTGTCAGAGTGTGGAGGAGGCGCGGAAGCTTTGGATTTGTTTTGGAAGCGTCTTTGATGAAAGTTGTGCTGAGTAACCTAACCTTTGTGTAAAGGGTCTCATATTTGTAGCTGCTGAATAAATAACATCAGGCTTGTGCACCAAACACATTCATTATATATAGCCTATATATTTTTTTTTTTTTACACCTTCAGGACATAATCTACACAAATGCCTGCAATTATTAGTGTTTTGTACTGCTTTATTTGTCTCTCTCCCCCCCCACCACACACACACACACACACACACACACACACACACACACACACACACGATTCTGTATAACAATCTATAGTCTGGAAGTGTCTGAGATGATTGAAAATCTTTTTTTTTTAAGATTTATTTTTGGGCTTTTTATGCCTTTAATGGAGAGATGGGACAGTGGATAGAGTCAGAAATCAGGGAGAGAGAGTGGGGAATGACATGCGGGAAAGAGGCCACAGGTGGGATGTGAACCCAGGCCGCCCGCTTTAGACGACAGTCTGCCCCATGATTGAAAATCTAAAAATAGTTTTTCTGTATTCTATGGTTACCCAATGCATTATATCTATATAGGTATTATACAGTGAATTGTGCCCACTCTGTCTTTTTTTTTTAACACCATGTCCTGAATATTCATTGGTGTAGGCTGGAAGCAATTATCTGACATGCATTTGCATGTTCAAATGCTCCATTGTTTGATGGGGTTAAATCAGTTATACAGATATGTTTGTACTAGTCATTTACCCTAGTGTCAAATCACACATTTAACAAAATAATAATAATTTACATATATTGAATAGTAGTAGTAGCTCTGAGTAGGAGGAAATACAGTAGCTCCGCTCATAGATTCATGCTTGCACCAACAACAGGTGTTACTTTAATGCTGTGGTAAGAGTCAAATCTGGGCCTCTATAGAATTGAGTTTGTTTAATTTCATATGGTCTGATTTAAGAGTATTCTGATGAAAATGCTTTTGAGGTGTTTAATGATTGAATTGGCTCATACACAGAGGGAATATACCCATGGCTTCACGTGTCCTTTCTGTATGATTTATTAAATGTGTTTTGGATTGATGTCCGGAGACAACATTGCTCTGTGTCCACTGTTGACCTGAAAATGTCTGTCAAACATCCCTCCAGCCCTATCATTGTTTTCATCCTCTTTTTGCATTGCTTTTACGCTAGCTTTCTGTATGTGTTGGGTGCTGGTGCCTGGCACTTTCAGACATTTTGAAAGCAGCTCAAATCAAAACCACAACTGAAAAGATTCAGCGCAGAGTTTGGGATTTTATTTTATTTTAGTCAACCTTCTTCGAGCAGCATAACTTGACACACTTTGGCATGATCACCTGATAAAGTCTTGTCTAAGTATGATGCCACGTGTATCTGAAGCACAAATGCAAAGCAAAGTGTTCCTAGAATCTGTAAACTCATAGAAAAACAACAAAACATGATTTAAAAATATACAGTTACAATATAGAACTCATGAATGTAAGTGGAGCCCAAGCAGGTCAGTAAGGTAAAGTAGAGTTGGCAGCTTTCTGCAGCCCGCCTGTCTGTGTAGTGCATGCGCTGGCAGAGAGAAGAGAATGAGGTGGCAACAATGAGAGTATTTTGACTGCACTTCGACCGTAGCTTTGCAACAGACATTCAATCACTCTACACTCAGGGAACACAGACAGGAAACAGATAGTGCTTACATAAGAAAACACTACTTACTATCAGACAAATAGCTATTGAAAAAAAACCTGTACACATAAATGTCTGAATAAGAACAGCCAAATCACAGTTTCAGACTCTTGCGATTGCTGAAATAATTTTCGGCATAGAGAGAGCTTTCTACTTTGGAGTAAAAGTTTTAGTAGTAACAATTTTAGACTATATAATGTTAGCCTGTGGCAGCTGTAGGCAAAATTAATAAATGATCTTTCATTTTGAGTAATATCCTGGAACATACCTCTGTATTCTGCATCTGTTGCTGAAACAAGCCATGCTAATGCTGGACAACCTTCAACACTAGTCTGCAGTGTTTCAGTAAGCTAAGCTGGATGCTCCCGGGCTCTAGGTAATGGTGCAGTCATTGTAAAGAGAACATTAAATATTCAGGGGGAGCCAACAGCGTGGATGTGCATAATAGGCAGATACATACGCTTATCCTCATTGTGGGGGTGTGTGTGTGTATGCAATAGGTTTTATGCAAGAAGGGTGTACCCCTATATGTGTAGGCATAAACTAAGTGTCCTAATTTGTGTGCACACATGTGGATGTCTGTGTGTAGGTTCTGAGTGTTGGAATGTGTGTGTATGTGGGCGGGTTTTTTTTTACCCTGGGTTTGTACAAAGTCGAAGGACCAGCACAGGAGCCTCTAATTGAAAGGGATTTGAGAGATATGGCAGGAGTCAGCATGTTACGACACGCTGAGACTGGACTCTGGTGGGCTGTTAAAACCAGCAGGAGGCTGAGAACCACCAGTGTGTGTATTTATGCGTATGTTGTCTGTGATCTTATGTGGGGGTGCATCCGTATTTATAACGGTGCAATGTTTGTGATTATGTGCTGTCGCAGAGTATATGTTGTGAGGATGCTGTGGGTCTCTATGCATGTGGTGTGGAGGTGCTACTGTGTGGTTGAGAAAATGAGCATCTCTCTCTCTCCGCCGAACCTGACAAGCTAAAATCCCCACGTATTAAAGGGAAAACATGTCCAACAGGTGAAAAGGGCTCATATTCAAGATTTGTGAACAAGCCACAGCTTTATAGAATATGCATGACATGCCAGGGGTACTGGTGCTTGCTCGACTGTGAATATGGTTATGTAGACAAGACACTCAAAACGCAAAACAATGGTCTACAACCAGATGGTAATGACACCCAGAAATCTGCAGAACTGTTTAAATCTGCATTTCATTTTACAGTTAAGATCCTTAAAAAACAGGCAGCAAATCAGCAAGGGCTGAGAAACCGAGCAAAACCAGAACATTGCTGTCTGCAGAATGAACTGTGAGCTTAGATGTACCTGACTGCAGGGCTGCAGCTATTGATTATTTTCATTGTCCATTCAAAGGTTGATTTACATTTTCAAAGCCTGTCTAAATACAATTATCATACACCAATATCTGCATATAAAGTATAAAAAAGTCTTACTCTATATACTGACCATTCATTGCGGCGCTCCAATAATGTCAGTGATGGCGGACATAATCTACAGTCCTTTATCAAAGGTTATGTACAAATTTCCCTCTGATCCCTCTGATACATCTAATACTGAATACAGTATTAGTCAAATAAAGGGAATTTTAAACGTAAATGACTGTACCCATTTTATACAGTAACCTCTTGATTTGAATAACACAAACTGCAACGCCTCATATTTTCTCCACCACCTCATCATGGAATGGAATCAAACAACGGAGGTTGTATTAACAGACTTAAAAATATGTACATTTATCGAATACAATCTTATACTGATTTCTGACTGAATTCATTTTTAAACATTGCCCTATCACAATATGTCAGGGCACATGGTCAAGCCTTTACATTACCTGCTTGTCCAGACTAATAGTCCACCTACATGCACAGAATTCCCAATGATAAGTACATCTTAATTTGTAACAGCTGGGAAGCATTATAAATATTGATGTGTGTGTGTGTGTGTGTGTGTGTGTGTGTGTGTGTGTGTGCATGTGCATGTGTGCATTTGAGTTACAGTAGTTTGAGTGTGCTTTACTAGTATCAAGCAAAGGTTTAGAGAGACAGCAGAAGCTGATCAGCACAGGGGAAGCAGACAAAGCACGGTCAACAGCCAGCATTTTTTTCTTTGCCTCAGGCACCAGGAGCCACAGTGAACTTTACATGAAAATGAAGCCATGGGATCTTACTCTCCTCACTGTCAGGTTTATATTCTTATTCAGATCCCAGTGCAGCACAGATATGCTCCTCAAGCTCACATGGAGAGGTTAAGACCCAAGAATGTTGCTCTAATCAGCATAAAACCTGCTCCCGGTTCAATTGCTTTGGGCGCCTTGTCTTTGCAGTTCTTCACAGAGGACAGCATTACAGTTTCCCATGAACACATTTGAACACACAAATATAATAATATAATAATATGTTGGATGATATGAGTAAACCAAAATTATTCTTAGAAAGCAGACTCAGAGTGCAAGCGCAGGAATAAAGAACTAAAGCCATGTCCTTACATCTTCCCATCCACGTCCAGGTGTCCAGGAAATTACATCCAGGAAGGGGTTGGAAAGATAACCGTCAACATTGAAGGAGTAGTCTCGACCACCGAGTGTGATGTTGCTGAAATACCTGCATGGCAATGGATGGAGACCAAAGAAGAGGGCAGACAGTAAGTGTAAGACACACTACAGCAATCAATAAGCCGTGTTTTGTTTGAGGAGATGAGGAGAAATCAAAATCATATTGTTGTTGTTTTTTTACACTAAGTCTGCCCTGCTTTTTTCCTCTTGAAACAAAGTCACAACACCTCTATGAGGGCTTGTCTATTAGCCATATATACAGACAAATGATCAGACACACAGAAACGTCAGGCTCTTTGAAGTCAAACAACTGTCACTCTCAGAATAGGCTGCAATCTCTATAGTTTGTCTGAAATCACACAGGAGACACCCTCTAATTGTTTTCCTCATGTCATATTGCTACAAAAAAAACACAAAACCTGAAAGTTTTTTTTTTTGTTTTTTTTACGTGATAGAAAGCCTCATTGGATCAGCAGCTTGTAGTTACATATAGTGAACAGCAGGTAGCAGTGCAAAAAAATGTAAATGAAAACATCCTCTTCTGTTCTTTGAGATAGTTTATCAGCAAAGAAGGAAGTATCCATTTATCATTTTCCTTTAACTGGCCCACTGTTGCTGTGCTCTATTTACAAAAACTACAAGTTTAGCTAACACTGACTTAACTTGCAGCAGCCTCTTAATCTTTAAAAAAAAAAAAAAAAAAGAACTAAGATGATAACCAGGACCATTGTGCTACCTGTTAGAGTGTGCTGCTGTCTGTTTGCACAGCCTACGAGGAATATATTAAAGTGGCCTCATCAATATACATGAGACATGGTCCACTTGCTACAGATGCTGGGGTAATTTCGCCAACTCACAACTACATGCACCAACAACATCTATTTTGCATGGATGATAGCCAGCTCCAAATTCAGATATCCCCTCTGCGCCTGCTCCCTTACACTGACTCAACCAACTCCGCCCATATACCTTGCAGCTCAGTCTGGATCAGAACCAACTCATTTAATAGAATACGCCTTGGCTTATCCTGTCTCTTTTTTTCCTCATTTTTCGTCCCTTTGCGCAAGACCTTTCTGGATCCTGACAACTTCCTTGTCCTGGATCCTGACAACTACCCTACAACCTTAAACTTCCACTTCCGTCCTCCTCACATTTTCCCAGCTTTCCTTTTTCCTCCCATATCCCTCTCACCTCATCCTGCCTCGAAGTCTCTGGGTCTGATTGGCGTCTGTCATGCAGTTGGTGACAAAGTTTGGCCCTCCCATGGTTCCATAATCCTTTCGCATCGCCACTGCCCCCATGAGTCAGCACAGACACACCCCGAGCAATCCTCCGGCGAGGTTCGTCCCTCCACCCCTGGGGCCGCACGGCAAAAAGAGCCCGAGGCAGGCCCTCCATGCCCAAACCTGAGAGAGCCGGCCCCACGGCAAACCACATGTGTGAGGCTCCAGCCTGACCTGCAGCCCAGGCGGCACGGAAAACCATCTCGGCCTCCTCCTGGGAGCAGTACAGCAAACGTACCTGGAGGTACATTAGGAAGGCAGGGAGGGAACGGGGATGAGGGGAGACACACACACACATACACGCTAGTGAGATAAGGAGGGGACAGGGGAGACGTGGAGGAGAGAGACAGAGGGTGGGAGAAGTAAGGGGAGACAGATAGAGCTGGAGCAGAGGTGTACCTGAACAGGGAGGGAAGAGGTTGGATGGAAAAGGCCATATCGAGAGGAAATAAGGAGGTAAGAGGAGAGATAGCTGTAAGCTGATGTGATAAGGTTTATTGGAGTGGGGCAATGATTCAGAGAGAAAAGTACCAGAAAGGGGGGAAACTGCATGGCTGAATACGATGTGTGCTAACCAGGTTTTTTTTTGGGACAATAGGGGTCACTACGTAATGAGCTTGGGACAGGTAACAGTGATGAGTAATGAAAACTGGAGTTAAAGGAGAAGGGATAAGGAAACAACTGCAAATGGCAGAGCAGGAAAAGAGAGGAAGCGAGGGTGTGAGGGGGGTGGGGGAGTTAAAGACCAAACACACCTGAGGGAAAACAAGAGGGAAGAGGTTAAACTCTGACATATGTTATTAAATCAGGATGGAGAAAAAACCTTGAGAAGAGAGTAGATGGAAGGGGGTTAAATGAGCAGATGTAGAGAATTAATCAGAGGTGGAAAGCAGAAGATATACTATAAAAGAGGAGATGGGGATGGTAGAGAAAAGCAAAGGATGCCATATTTTGGTGAAATGAAGCCTGTGAAGATAAGAGAGATTTAAAATAGGAGGGGTGGGATGATGGAGCGAGGCTGGAGGAAGCCAGCGAGAGAGAAGAAAACATTAACGAGAGAAATACAACTGAGAAAGATAGCGCAGAGACAGTGCACAAGCTTTCTGCTGCAAGTCCGGAGGTAAAGATGGGTGAGGAGAGAGAGGAGAGTAGAAATTGACCAAAGGGCTTTAAGGGGTTAGAGGGGAAATGGAGAGAGTGGGAAGAGATTGACAAGAAGAAGATGAAGCTGAGCTGAGCAGAAAGACCAGTGGTGGTGGGGGGGGGAATCAAATGCTGACAAATACCCAAGAAGCATGATAGTGAGAGCATTAAGAAATACGAAATACGTGAAAAATGACGTTGTGAAAAGAGAGACAAAGGGGAATCGAAGGACAAAACAAGGAAGAGGAAGGGGAGGGGGGGGGAGTCAGTGAAACGGACTGAAAGCACATTTTGAGGATTGTGCCTTCATTGAATTTTGAACTGTAATGGCTTGGCAAAACAATCCTGTCTGTATGCCAATAAACCTCCAGTGAATTAGCCAGGGAATGAGAGTGACAGAGGGAGGAGGAGGAGAAATGAGGGAAGGACGGAGAACGAGGATGACAGACAGAGAGGGAGACTGAATTAAGGAGGGAAATAGAGAATCTGAGTTATAAACACACAAAATATCTAAAGAAGGAAATGGAGAGAGAGAGCGAGAGAGAGGAATATACAACAGAGAGACAGAGCGCAGAAGAAGAAATACTGACACAGCAGAAGCTGGAATAGGAATGGAATGAAAGATAGGCAGTGAGAGATTTGAGCAGAAATTGACCCAGAGACCCGCATAAGGCCGTCTACAATGCAGCGGACATTACCGTATGTGGCGGAGAGAAAGAGAGAGAAATAAAGAGCATGTAATGCAAACAAACACTGCATCGCTAAGCAATCAAAAGCATTTATTAGCCCTTTAGTACAGAAATGTTAAAGAAGGGGGCTGTTGTGAGAAGCAAGAAGGTTAGAAAGCAAGCACTGCGAATCGGCAGCCTGCTGCAGGCAGTATGTTATATTAACAAAGACACTTGCAGAGTAAAGTAGTGCAAAGGAATCGAATACACATGCGCACACTTACAGATACCAATACACACAGTCACGGACACACACAGAGCTGCAGTGGCCATGCTGGGACATAAGCAATGACATTGATACCCAAACTAAACTGAGCCATCACAGAGCTTAGTTTGTGGTCAGAAAGACATGTAGCAAGAGGGATGGACATATGAAGTGAAGGAATGAAAGAGAGCCAAACACAGATGGAGGTTAACAGGAAAGCAGCAGAGGAGAGTGAGCTTGTCTCCAGGCAAAGAAATGCAGGAAGGGGAGGTGGGGGGTGGGGGATGTTGTAGCCAGTAAGGACACAGAGATGAGTTAAAATTTAGCAGGGGTATCATGGGGTCGAAGAGGAGGTTTAAAGGAGGGTGACCGGGATAAAAGACAAGATAAAGGAAGTGTCAAGGCGAGTATATGGTTAAAAAAAAAAAAAACAGAAGCAAAGGAAGTAAGAATGAAAGTTTTACAGAAGTTATGAAAACAAGTGAAGAATGAGCAAGCTAGAGGAGCAGGTCAGGGATCAGGCATACAGTATGTAGGAATGAGACACACCTGAGGTACAAGTCAAAACCACAAGTCATTCTGTTCAGTATCAATGTGAATTTGTATTGGGGATTTTTTTTAATTCTCAAAAATTCTAAGAAGGATTGATGCTGTTATCATCAAAGATGGATAGATATCTCCAAAGAAGGTCGACAAATTAGACTCAAGTTAAGAGATAAAGTGGTAGAATAGAAATTATGAAAAGACGTTACATTACGAGTCTCGTATAGCCAGACTTCACATCACTACACTTTTAGAGCTGCTGGTGACATTTTTTCAGGAACACATCATAACCCCTCCGTTATTTATTTTTATGTTATTCACATGGTATTTGAATAAGTGTCTGGGGGACTTTGTTTTCGTGGAACATTTGGACGTCGGGAGGTGAGCCTTGCCCCTAACATAGCTCAGTCTCTCAAATTACCGAAAGAACCAAGCAGGCTTGCTTTATGCACCATCCAAATTTTAAAAAGCTTGTCTTTTGCAGCGGGAGTTTGCTAGCTTTGTCATTCCACATAGCATTTATTTTAAGATCTGCAGCATTACTAGCAAACATTGTGCGGTGGCAGAATATTTTCAAACACACAGACCTTTTTTTTTAAAGGCTAGTTGAGAGCTCCAAGTTTACAACAATGTCCGAAATGGAACGAAACGTTTTGAGTATTGCCATTTGATGGAATGATTCAGCCATGAATAGTTCACAAAGTGTAAACATGGTAGAAAAACAAGGTTAAACAAAAGTGAACCTTCATTGGGGGTCCACTCGATGGAGAGGGATCTAAGGCTTGTTGAGAGTATTCAACACCAACATTCATCTGGCCTTCTTTACACTTCAGATTGGACTAAAAAACTAATTCAAGCCTGTGGTTGTTTTTTTTGGCTCTGTCTGTCTTTATATGTGTCTTGGCTAGGTTTTGTACGGAGGTGCAACGATAAGATCAAACTGGAAGCACGGGGTGTTCTCTATTGCCAGTTATTTGCTGATGTTAAATAAGGAGAAAACTGTATAAAAATGATTTTACTTCTTCAGCCGGTTTCACATAACTCTTGTGCAATGTTGCACATCAACCAGCCAGCACATCAGGTTGACTCGTGGTTTTTGTTGTACCGTTGAACTCTTTATGCCTAGGCAGATGGGAGGGGAAGAGAAGAACAGAGGGATAGAGGAGAGAGGGGAGAGAGATCCGGAGGGACAGAGGGAGAGACGAAGAAGGAAGGAAAAAGCTGGGAAGCCACCTGTTTGTCAAGGGGGCCCCCAATTATACTTGCAGCACTTCCTCCCCTTTCCTCCCCCCTCTCCCCCCTCCCTCCCCCCTTTCTCACCTGCGCCTCGTTCTCCTTCAGCAGCCTGCGTGTGCGTGCCCCCCCAGGGTCATCAGTCACGTTCAGGATCACCACACTCTTCTTCTCCCAGCCGATGAACGAGCCGTCCGTCAGGCCCTCCACCACAGACAGAAAGTCCTGGTAGCCATGGTGACGCGTACACACCACGGAAAAGGCTGTCCAGTCATACTCCTCCAGCACCTCAAAGATGACCTCTAATTGGAGGGCAGTAGAGGAGCTGAACTGGAGAAAGATGGAACCTGATTCCTGATTAGGGGAAGAGAGCAGCAGATTTGGTGTTAAATCTCACAATAAAATGAATACTCTGTTATTGTGCTGTCTTAAATGCAGCTACAGTACAGTAAGTTGGTAACAAACTACATTTTCACTGAGACTGCTGCATTTTATACACAGCAAAGAGACATCACGGGGCTTGAAGTTTTTTTTTTTTTTTATGGAAAAGCAGCACTTGTGCAGCTGCAGGGCTAAAGCAACTAGGATTGTTGCTTAAATTCTCCTATGACGTCCAGGAGGGAGTGTTTCTAAAAAGTCTGTTCAGGGAATGGGAGGGGATGAGGATGGCGAGGGTACAACTTCAAAGGAAGTTCATCAAAGTGCTACAATTTAATTCCTCAAGAGTAAATGGTGAAAACAGTTATTTGTAAGCACAACATGCAATGCTTTTTGTTTCTGTTTTTCCCTGTTTGGTGGTGAAAAGCATGTGCAACTTGTTTCTCTGGTACATGCACACTTTTACATAAACAGAGCACACATACACCCACATCCTTATTCACTCATACACACATCTATGTCTGCTCATTGCCTCTCTCCCAGGAACATCAGAGGTAGAGCGACAGCCCCAGTTGGTGCCATTTACAGATCAAACACTGCAGAGTTTCTGCAGATTGGCGACCCTGACCTTCAACTTCCCCTCCATCCCACCGGCACTTCCCCAAACCTCTTCTTCGCAGAGAGGATTCATGACTTTGTGACACTGTAAGATGTTATGGCTAGGGATGGGTACAAGTACTCCTGGACGTCATTACTCCAGTAACATTACATTACTTGCACAATGCGCACACATCATTTTAGGCTACAAAAGTTCAACTCGTTTAGTGTTACATGTGTAACTGAACTTTCCTTATATACTTGGTGTGAAAAAAAGTAAGAAACTAGTAAATGGTACATAGAGGTATAACTTCTCTGGCCACGGCTTTGGCTGTATTTGCACAGCGAGCAGGATTACTGCAGCAACTGCTTTGATGCAACTAAGGCAACTCTCAAGGGACACATTAATCAAAAGGCATGTGACAAACAGAACAGTCTGTTACACATGCACCATGTCAGCCGTGAACAGGAAAAGTGATGTCTGGAAGGACTTTGAGAAAAAGATGACAGTAATGTGCATATCATAGAAATACTTGCTTGACGCTTAACCACATGAGCTTAAAGCTCAAGGAGAAACCAGCGGAGACAGACAACAGGCAGCCTTACATCACATCTTTGCTAGCCCTGTTAGCAGATATTGTGATCATACTAGAGCAGAGAAGATTCACCTGCCAATAATGAAACTGGTGACTGGACATATGCTCCAATTACGTTTTGTACTGTAGAAGGAGAAGGGGATCTGCTCGAGGACTGAAATTAATGTAAATGCTCCTCCCTGGTTATGGCAGTTTAAGCAGCTCTCCCTTATTACTTTTCTCATAGTGCTATCCTTCCATTGTGATTTATTTACATCAAACAACTTATTAGCATTGTTCCCCTTGCCATGCCTCACATTTGGACCTACACAATCACACATCAGGGACATCTGCACTCCTTTTCTAACACACACAAAAACAGAAATACACACATTCTTCACACTCCCGCCCAAACCCCAATCCCCCAACTCCTACCTGTGGCATCCTTCCCAGCCCCACTCCCCCTCCTACTGCCACAATGGGCAGTCCTGTTTGTGCAGAGACAAACTCCAGCATGGGGGCCAAAGGACCCCAGGCCGTGCGAGGGGGCCGTTCCTCTTCATAAACCAGACCCTGCAGAGGCCGCGCTGCCAGAAGCTCACACAGCTGGGACAGAACAGTCTTGGGACTACTGTCATTCACCTGCGAAATGATGAAAGAGGAGAAAAGAAAGAGACTAATAGAGGTATCCAGTCAGCCCAGGTAGCTCAGTCAGCTGTGCTGCCCTTCCAACTCAAATAATGGGAATGAGTAGGAATAATGATCATCATTGGAATTCGCTTTTTTCAAGTAAGACTGAATGAGCAGGAGGTTAAGGAGGCAGTTTCCAACCTGTAGCCAGATGACGTTAGCAGAGCCCCACTGGGTGACCACGCTTTCCCCCAGGGAGCCATACACCCGACCAAAGCCGGGGTAAAGCACCCTTCCCCCTGGCCCCGCCACTGCAGCTTCCGCCTGCACCGTAGCACCGGCATGGATCACGGCAATGTTGAAGTTCATCATGGCCCCCGCATCACGCTCCCGCGGGCTGGGCCGAAGCAGGAGGTGGGGGGAGGCGTCCACCAGACCTGCCCACTCTGCCAGGACCAATAGGAGAGAGAGAGTAGGTATGGCGACCATGGCAACCTGCCGAGGGGGGAGGCAGATATGTATCGCACTAAGAGAGGGTGCCTAAAAGAAAGAGATACAGCAAGTAGTAGAGGAAGAAGTTGAAGAAGAAAAAGGAGAAGCAAGAGAAGAAGAGACATGATTAGACTTAAGTTTTTCTTTTGTGTGAATAATATTCAGTACAGGGGACATGGAATCAACAGGACGGAGGTAACAGTTAAGCAAAAAAAAAGGAGTTCAAGAGAAGACATAAAACATAGAAATATCCACATCAGAGATTGCGTACAGGCAAGACTGTAATGAATTCTGAATTCAATCATCGGGTAATAAAAGTTGGCTTTGGCTGGAGAAAATACTGGACGATGTGGAAGTGTAAAGGGGAAAAACAATGGAGAAGAGGCAAAGAAAGCAAGACTTGGAGAAGATGAAATGGTTGCTATTTAGGCTGCAGGCTGAGAAAGAACAACATGAGGAAAATAGAAACTGGCCGTTAGAGGGTAGGAGGGCGAGAGGGAGAGAGAGCTAATAGCAGACAGAGACAAAGATGGGGGCGGAGGTGATTATTGTGCTGCATGAATGATAACAACAATTAAGATCACTGTATACACACTCGCCCTCACACAGCTGCAGCAACGTACAGACAAATGCATGCAAGCTTTTGAAATTTCACACATGCTCCTAGATAAGTGCATGGCTACACTTTGCCCGTAGTGCAGCTTAATGATTTAGAGATATGAGGGTTATATGCACAACACACAAACATGTGCGCACACAGTCACACAAACAACCAAACAGAAAGATAATGACTACCTGAGAGATAGCAGGCTTAATATGTTTATTGCACACACACACAAACACACACAAAACACAGCACATCATTTTCAATTTACTTCTGGTGCCAACTGCCCTCCCTCCCTTTCTCCATTTCCTTCTCACTTTCTCCTCGCTCCATCTCTCGGCTCGGGCTTTTCATATTCCCCATCTCTTCTCCCAATTTTCATGGCTTCAGGTACCAAACACAATCGCATTGATTAACAGAGGCCAGCTGACATAATATTCCTTCCAGAGTCACACTCCTTCACTGTGCCTCAACACCCCCCCCCCATGATTTTCCCATGTCTTCATTCAAACCTTTTCTGTTTGTTATATAGTAAAGGGAGAAAAGGAGTACAGGGAAGAAGTCGAGAGTTGTGAATTGAAGATAAGTAATGCAAGTAGTTTGTATGGCTTGTAATTGACTAACTGATTGATTAAAGAAAGGAGCTGAAAGAAAAAGAAGGAGAAAAGGAGAGAAGATGGGGAGGGATGTGGAGAGGTGCCGTAAAACATGTGAGGAGAGTAGCAGGAAAGAAATATTGATTACCAGGATGTGTATACGTGTTTGGCCTAAACAAATACACTGCCAAACCTGCTTTGAGTGACAGGACTAGGTGTGGGTACTATGTGTGTGATGTGGGGGGCAACAGTGAAAAAAGGAACAGAGTGGTGGAATGAGATGGAATGAGAGGGCGAAAAGGGGGGAGACAGAGAGATACGGGTAAGAAAAGAGATGGAGGTATGGAGATATACGAAGAGACAGACCTGTTAGTAGGAGAGAGGGAAAAGGAGAAGGTAATAATGAAGGGGAGAGGAGAGAAAAACAGCGCTTTGTTGTTTTTTTGTTTTCTTTAAGGCGAGGAAGATGTGGCAGGAAGGAATGGGGAGGACGCAGAGACCGGGAGAGAGAAAATGAGAGAGCGAGAGACGAGGCTGCAGGAATACGGTACATCATATCATTTGGAGCTGTTTTTCAAGAGTGCTGAGCACTGAGCCATTTACTTTTCGGCCTGTCTCTGTATTTCACTCTCATGAGGTGTTTACGTTGTGTCCTTCCATCACAAGGCCTTGTGGGAAGTGTGAACACGCTGTATTAGTATCTACAGTATCCACTTTCCCTGCACAGTGTGTCTCTTCCTGTAATCGAACATGCAAGTGCAACATCTCAGCAGTGCAGACGGCAATAAAGCAACGTACAAGTCAATTATAATCAAATCCTCATCGAAATATACCTATATACTATACAGATCATTATGTGGTCCAATTCTGCAAACCGAATCATAAAACCCGTACAGTGAGGGGGTTCACAGTGTTCTCACACACAAACACACAGAAGGGTGAGGAGAGTGGGAGTCAGGAAAAAAGATAAGTTCCATTTGATTTTTCTACCATAAATGAATCTTTTGTTAAAATGCAAATGTTTACATTTCTTTTTACAAACAATCCCGTTGTTAAAGCAGCTGCTATTTCAGTTCAGTGTATATTTTTTATTTGTAAGGAGACTGCCTACAACTCAGTATGTGTTTATTTGAGATCAAAATAGGGCATCGACGTCGTATCATGCCCTGAATAGAATTTAAGGTAAGGAATCAGGTTTTTGAATAGTCATTTTTAAACGTTGTGCTTTAATAGGAGCGTTACCTTAGATCTTAGCATCACATGAAATTGTATTTTAGACAATAGCTATAAGGCACATATAATTAGGTCTTCACTACTATAATAATATTGTAATATATTATTTTCTTTATTATGGCTCCACTTACTACAACAAAATGGAAGTGGAAACCTTTCAAATTGTGATTAAAAAAAGATCTTGCTCTGATGATTTATAATGAATCTGTCAAGACACATTCACCTTCAATTATTTGCTTTCTTAATCATGAAATAATATTAACATTTACATTAGAGTATTTGTATTTCACGTTGTTGATCTCAGTAATGAGAAGCTCACTGTATCTGCGGTACAATTATTTTTCCGCTGAGTCTGTTGAGTTTGTCTTCTTAAGCAAAGGAAGTGGAATTTTGAGCAGCACAAAAGCAGGCGTTCATGCCAGTGACTGTTAGAAGCAAACTAAAAACACCTTGAGGAATATTTACCGAGCACTTAAGAGCAGGAATATTCTCCGGCTGACAGAGACAGCTAATCAAGAAGATGAGAGAGAAAACATTTACGCAGGCGAGCCAGCCTCTTCTCTCTCGTCCAAAATAGCCAGCCCTTCTCAATCAGTCAACGTCTCGTCATATCTGCGCTTTAACGTTTCATTTACACTGCATAATGAGCTCACAGTGATTCCAAATGATTACCTGTAGGAATTAATGCTTACTGTGGTTGCAGATTATGCAACATTTTATTCACCAGTTTGAACAATATAAAAACAGGTTTGGAGTTTTCATTTGCTGAAGGCGAATCAGCTACTTTGAAGGTATGGTCCTCTGTAGAGGATTACACTGAAGCCTATGCTACTCCTGCAAACACCAAAGAAGAATAAAAAGTTGTGTATAGCCTCTAAACAAAAAATGAAAAATTGATTCTGGTTGTCAGTGTGATGGTAGAAAAATAATCCCAGTATTTAGGCGTTTCATATCCCCTCTGGTCCATTAACTGTACATGATACAGCTGCAGCTAGCGCCCGCGGTGACTCTGGAAGAGCGAGTCACAAGAGAGGAGTGAGCCGGTTGCTGGTATCCACACCTCTCTGAGCCCCTCTCTCCCTCTGAACTCCAGCAGAGGCAGCCTGCCAGGTCTGTGCTGCATCGGCTCTGCTGGGGAGATGTGAATGGGAAAGGGAGCCTGTGGAGTCTAGAGTGTGGAAGTTGTGGATGTGCAGTGTTCAGAGGTTGTGTTCTGCTCCACATCGGGGCTCTGCTGCTTCATTCCAGTCTGTCATGCAGAGTAATGGACCTGCTACCTGCTGCCTGTGGCACCAGATGCACTAAATAAGCCCAGGCCAGTTTTTCACAGCAAACAAAACATCTGAAATATATTCAGGCTAATATGTAGTCTACTGTAAACCATTAGAAGAAATTGCAGTGTCTCTATGAGTCACCGCAAGTGCCTAGAATACGAAAACCCTCCCCTGAAGAAGGCTCTCAATTTCTCTTCTTTTTTTTCCCTCCATTTGTCCACATCTAAGACTGCAGCGTGCTCGAGAACACTGCTGCATGTAGCCTGTGTAATTTCCTTGGTTCCATTGCTGCACCATAGTGATAGATAAGATAAAGTGCCAGCGCAGTGTGGTGCCCACAGTGTGTATATATGCGAGTGTATCACTGTCTGTTTGTGTGTGCGTGGCGTGCGGGGTAATATGGCAGTGTGGGGGAGCGGAGGAATGAAGAGAAGAGTGCAGCTGTAGCTCAATGCTCCTCGTGTTAATTGGCCCATACTTCAATCACAGCCACTGGAGTGTGTCCTCTCTGACGAAACATATCCTCTCTCCCTCTCTTTCTCCCTCTCCCAATCTCACTCTCTCTCTTTCTCGCTCTCTCTTGCTCTATCTCTCTCTCTCTGTCCTGCTGCACTTGTTCAGCCACTCATCCACTTGCTTACACACACACACACACACACACACGCACACACTCACTCAAGAGAAAACTTCCAGACACACTCCTTCACTCAGTCTGTCTCACTCATTTGATTTGGTCACTCGTTCATTCATCCATTTATTCATTCATACATTTATAAACCATCTTACTTCCACCAAACTCCTCTTTCTCCTCTCTCTTTCATCCACAACTCCTTGTCTGTTCCTCCCTACCCATACCCCATTCTGTCCCTCCGCACAAGTCTTTGTCCTGCACTTCTTTCACTCTCCGCTTCCTCCCCTCCCTCACTTCCTCCCTCTCATTTCAACCTCTCTCTATCTCTTTCTATGTCTTTGATTCCTGTTGCGAAGAAGAGCCACCAGGCAGGCGGCGGCTCTTGTTCCCATTGTGCAGAGTGTGCAGAGTGATCGGCGAGTAGCGCAGCGTGCAGCAGCAGGGCGTACAGTACTGTGTGTTTTTACTGCATGGCTGTACAGCAGTAGTTAAGCCTGCTGCTGCTTCTGCTGCCGCTGCCTCCCTTGGACTTGATCGCTGTGGCCATCATAAGCCGTTCTAGTGGCACAGTCTGAGCCATCTATCAAACCCTTGTGACACCAAGTCCTCACGGGGAAAAGCAACACGCGGTATTCATAGATTACACATGCCACAGGCTGATAAGAGCAGAGCCGGTCGCTTTCCTTAATGTGACACTATTTTTTATGTGG